GCGCGATTTGTCCACTGTACCCGCTCCCCACGATGTATACCGTCGGATGTTGCGAGGAGGTGCTTGGTATTGCGGGCGAGGTGGAAGTGAAAAGTTCATCAAGTGAGTGATGGACGTCTGTCCCTTGCGGCTGGTGGTGGATTTCATGGCGGCCTAGATAATGCCTCCAGGGTCAGCAGGCAGCTCTTTAGGAAGATAGACCTGTGAACCCACCGATTCGTTGTACTCGTCATCATCCAATAACCGAGGTTTTCTTTGACGGTTATGCTGACTCTTCCGAGCTTGATTATTCCTTGGGGTGGCTGAAGTTTTCGATGGTACCACTGGCCGAGAACTCCCAGAACCTCCGACGCGCCTTTGAGAGCTGTTCTCCGCTGGAGCTGCTGAGTGGAATGGAGTGGATGAGGTTGTATTCGGAATGTTTACCGCTTTAGAAGGGGGCGGGTTCTGTCCTGTATTAGATGACATATCTTTGTAGTAATAGTCCTTCAATGGTGGAAACCCCAATAAATCAAACAAGGCAGAGAGACGAAACGAGCTAGGTTGGAAGATGAGGGGTTCTATGGGGACTGGATAAAGTCAACAACTGATAAGATGTCAATCAGCTAGCGGGCAGTAGATCCGTTGATCCACCATATGCTGAACAAGCCGGACAGGAAGAAGAGAATGAATGGCCTTAAAGGCCATGTAAGAATAGTAGTGAGGATCGAGGGACGGCCCTCAGGGTGCCAGTTGATGTCGTGCAGGGTCCAAATTCGCCCCTCTCCGGTTACAAATCGCAATGTCACGTGAACCAGCAACTCCCGACACCCAATTCGGTCTCGGTCCCCTTCAGCTTCATTTCGTTTGACGGTGAATCGAGGCCTCCTCCCTTATTTCTTTTTTTCTTTCCTTCTGCTCGCTCGCTTCTCATCCTCCACTTGCTAACTCTCTCCGCCTAGAGAGTTACTTGTACAGCGGTCTGCTTCTTTCTCTTGTTTCCTCACTCCGATCTGGTTTGCCAGTCTCCTTCCACCAATCCCAGCAATCCAACAGCTCTTTCAACGCAGTTCATCCTCCACTCCCATTCTCCAACATATCCAACAGCTCTTATTGAGGCCACGATGGCTGCCTAAATGCGCTAGCAGCTCTAGATTTTTCCTTTCTCTTGACTGCTATCGCGCATGGCACTCATTTGAGGCAACGCGTGACCGAACGTCAAGACAACTTCTTTTTCTAGCCAACTCAATATGAACCACCACCTTCCTGCCATGCCACATGGGCAGCTGCCCATGCCTCCTTCGAGGCGCCAGCAAGACTTCTCTTACAACGCCGCGCCTCCACACATGCGATCACCACAGTACATGGGATATCCTCCTCACATGAATGGCCACATGCCTCATCAACCATATTCATCGCAGCAATACCCTTACTGGTATCCACCATATGGACATATCCAGGGTCCTCCACGCCCATACCAGGCACCCTATGGACCGATGATTGTATCTTCTTATCCTCACTCGCAGCCTGTCATGGCGCCCACGCATATTCCTCATTCGATGCCCATGCATCAAAGAACTCCGACTCCACTGCAACCGATTATGTCGCCATCTGTCATGCACCCGTCGATCCAGCCAATTCAGCCCGAAATGCAGGAATACCCTGCTGTTCTACCTCACTCGGTCCAAGGATATCCCATCGCTTCTCCGCCACCACGATGGGAGCCACAGCCAAACCTGCCGCCGAAGCCCACTTTTGCCCCACCAGTAAGTGCTTACTCTCATCGCGAATCAAACATGAATATTTCCTAACTGTTAATCTAGATTCCTTGGCTTTCGGTTCCAGAGCAGCCCTTCCCGGCCAGAATCCCGCGCAGACGTCGCAAGGGCCGTGTCATGCAGTCATCAGTTGAGCTTCCCACCAAAGACACGCACATGGTCATCGAAGGAGATGAAAACGAAGAGACTCAGCCATCCTGCTCATCTACCCAAGAATCTTCGGAACCTCAAACACCAACCACCACCACATTCCAACCGTCTGATACAGACTCCACACAGCCCACCACTCCTTCGTCGGTTGCGAAATCACAATCACACTCGAAAAGCTCAAAGCCTGCTCCAGTTGTTCCAGTGGTGCCCAATGTGCCATCTACCCCACGTCGCCAAGCCAAAGATGGCAGTGTCGCATCTGGAACTCCTAAATCGACTGCACCTGCGACTCCTGCCCCGGTGGTAGAATTGGATAAAGTTCCTTCTGCTGAAACCAAGACAACTTCGCCTGTGCCAACTGCACCCAAATCTTGGGCTGATTTGGTCCGCTCAAAGGAGTCGGCGCGAGCAGCAAGTGCCGCTGCCGCCGCTGCTTTGGCCGAACCACACGGATTGCCTGCTCAGAAAAATAAATCCCTCGCAGACGTCCTGAGCAAGTTGGGAGAAGATGTCACTCAATACAGTGACAAGATCGCATTCCTTGAACCGCGAGGACTGGTCAACACTGGAAACATGTGCTACATGAACTCTGTGTTGCAAATTCTTGTTTCTTGTACCCCATTCTACCAATTCCTTGATCATCTTGGCCGTCGTGCTGCGCACACCTTCCACAGTGATCTTCCTTTGATCGATGCGATGATCATGTTCATGAAAGAATTCCGTGTTATTGACGCGGCCACTTCCGAAGACCAACTTCGCCTCAGATTGAAGCCCAATGAGCTTGAGCAATATGGCGACTCTTTCGTTCCTGAATTTGTTTATGAGATGGTTCGACAGCTGCCACGATTCAGGGACATGCGGCGCGGGCATCAACAGGACGCTCAAGAGTTCTTAGGCTTCCTTCTTGAGGAGATGCACGAGGAGTGCGCTCGCGCCGAAGCGCACACCGCAGCGAAGGAAGGAAGCGATTCTTCTGTCGATGGCTGGTTGGAAGTTGGCCACAAGCAAAAAGCAGCGACCACCCAACTGTCTGGCTCTCTTGCTGCTGAGTCGCCGGTCACCAGAATCTTTGGGGGAAAGCTTCGGTCAGAATTCAAGGTACCTGGCAACAAGACTTCTGTCACGTTGGAACCCTATCAACCTTTGCAACTCGACATTGGATCGCATGACGTTCACAACATTCTCGATGCGCTCAAGGGAATGACAAAGCCAGAAAGCATCCAGGGTGATTTCAACTCGTCACGCGGACCGAACATCACCGCGACCAAACAGATCTTCATTGAGACCTTGCCCCCTGTCCTCATTCTTCATCTCAAGCGCTTCCAGTACGACAGTGTTACAGGTGCCACTCAGAAGATTTGGAAGAAGGTTGGATATCCTTTAGACCTGGAGCTTCCACGGGAGGTTTTCCCAGCTCATCGGCGTAACGCCATGGCAGCCAATGGAGGTCCCCCCAAGTACCGCCTCATGGGTGTGATTTACCACCACGGTAAGAACGCCAGCGGTGGCCACTACACGGTCGATGTTCGACGACAGGAAGGCTTGGAATGGATCCGCATGGATGACACTGCCATCCGTCGCGTCCGCAGTGAGGAAGTGGCGGAAGCTGGTGGTGAGGAAGACCCTAAGGTTCTTGCTGCCGCTCTTGAGCAGCACAAGCATGGCAAGATCCCGAACGGCAATATTTTCGACCATATCGATCAGGATGACATGGATTTGACCGACAGCGACAAGGGCTGGAGCCAGGTCAATGGCAATGGTGCCAACGGACATGCAAGCAAGAAATCAGTGAACGGTGTCACTCCACCCCCCGCCGCTCCCTCTGGGGTCCGAACCCCACTGGGCCGCTATGGCTCTCGTGACAACAAAGTTGCCTATCTATTGTTCTACCAGCGAATGGATTGAGGGTTCTCACCCCAAAAGCTTCGCCATTAGGCTGGGCGTTCGTTCTTCAACGACACGTTGAAAAAGCATCGTACCCACTACGTTCTGTGAACACATCGAGTTTTGTGTCTTCCATAAAGTCATGCATTTTGATCCTCACCTCAGGGATTATCTGCCGCCTGTATCGACAGGTCATACATAACATCTATCAACCTCGGCGAGCTCGTTCCATTTTTGTGTTTATAGTTCGCCTCTGCACATGAAACACCGTTCACAATGAAGCCGTCTGGAGAGAGGAACACAACCTAGGGCACGGCGGTCCCTGATCATCTACCTCTCTCTCCCCAAAGGCTCATTAACATATCTCACCTTTGCTTCACAAAAGCATCTACCTGAACTCCGTTTTGACCTTTTTCTTTTTGCTGTTTTTGCTCTTTTCTTCCAATGTAACGAACCCAAACACTTCACCGCCCATTGTCTTTTGAGCCAATTGTTTTTTTTTTTCGTCTACCTTTGGGCTGTATCTTATGGGATGTCGACCGCGGTTTATACCCCTTTCCGTTTTCTCATGGATACATCGTTCAAACTGATCTTGGCCCTATCGCACACGAGCAGGCCGAAAAGAATGGCTCTCCTTGAGCTGTTCCTACCAAATTCTTTTTTTTTCGTGTACTTTGCCATGTCATTCGACATCTGGCGAGGATATAGGAGATCCTGTGACGAAGTCACGAATTTCCTTGTCTTGATCTTGATTGCTTTGTCTGCATAGAAGGCGGGTGTTGAAGAGAGCTGGGGTTGTTCAGCCTGGGGCGTCGGGGATGTTTCTTGCTCGTGTTAGGAAGAGGAGGGATGTTAATGGTGCAGACCACAGTAGGTTGGAGGTTTGAAGGAGAGGCTACAGGTCGGGATATCTGAATTGCGCGAGAACGCAGAATACCAGGTGTGGTATATCAAAAAGCCTGTTTTTACCAAAAAAAATTTCAAAGGAAGTTTATCTCAAGAGTGTATTGCTGTAACACGTAGTTTATGTACAAGGGTAGACGGCTGCGTATGCGGCCTTGTGGTATATTTTTTGTAGTCTTTCTAGTAGTCTTTTTTAGTGGTCTCAGATATTCTGGAAAATGCGGAAGCAAAAGCACTTTTCTATGTATGACCTTTGATGTAGGTTATACTGAACCGAATAGTTATTACAGTTATGAATATATGCAATCAAGCATGGAAAACAGGCATTCCAACCTCGCTCTTCGCTTCCAAATCCCCATCCTCTACGAACTCAAATCCAAGAGCCCTCCAGTTCAACTCCTTCCTCCAATGCAGCCCATAATACCCTCTCTCGTCTTGTCCATCAACTGCAGAAGTGTCAGCCTCTGCAGCTTGAACAACCTCATCGGCCACAGGACCAACAACCGGCTCAGAAGACAGGCCACCACTCTCCAACCTCCCACTTCTGGGGAAGATGACAGACCGGAACCGGGAGAGAAGTATGCCCATAGAGCAGCACAGACATGGCTCATGGGAAAGGTAGACGTCCAAGTCTGTGCAGAGGTAGCCACCCTGTGAGCGAGTACGAATGCGCGGGGTTGCAGGCGTTATAGCCGGTGTAGCAGAATCCGCAAGTACTATGGTAGACGGGGGAGGAGCCGGGAGAGGCGGGTGGTGAAGCTCGGATTGGGAAGGGCCTGTAGAGGGGTCGATAGTCAAGTCGGATTCAGGGTTAGGGTCTTGGTGTTTCCTCTTCAATGGAGAGGACGGAGAGTGAGGTAAGTTGGGGATGTTGGTGGTTGTGCTAGGACGGTGGCGGTATAAGAAGTATGATTCTAAGGCGCTTAGCTCTGACTGTTCTAGTTCAGGCTTCGATGGACCCGCGGTAGTCGTTGACGCAGACACGTCGTCAAGACGATCGTGCTCTCGGCGCCAGCGAGCAATCAAATCGACAGCACGCATCAGCGCGTGCAGTTCAGGCCCGCCCTCGACATCCGCGTTGTATGTCTTGCTCGCTGGATTTGGCGCTACCCCGGCGTGCAGCTGGGCCTGGGATGGTGCGCCTGCCTCGGAGCGGGAGTACCGCGCATCGCCGGCAACTACGAGGACTGCTTCATCCCATTCTGCTGTAGTGTCATATCCGGCATCGTAGCCTGTCTCGGTTATTTCTTCTTCGATGGCAGGGTCGACTATCACTGCGCCTATGCCGCGGCCTAGCCCGGATTGTTCTGCTTCCTCTGCTACTTTGCGCGCCAGGGATAGATAGTACCCTGCCCGTGGTTCAATGGATTCCTGTGCACGTTTTAGGATTTGAGGGGGTGGCGCGACAGTTGAGCGGGGTGCGGCTGGGTTGAATACGACTGGCCAGAGGGTCTTGCTCCATGTTTCGGCCTGGGTTGCATTGAAGGGAGGGCAAAGAGGGATTGTAGCGGGATGAATATGAATGGTAGGGGCTGAAGAATCGGAGTGTGAAGCCTCGTCTGGCGTTTCATTTGCAGTGGGAGGATCGTTTGTAGCGGCCGGCGCCGTGTCCGGCGCAAATGGAGCGAGCAGAGCCTTTAGTGTGGTGAGATCAGGCAATGGCGGTGATATGAGCACGAATATGGTTTGTGCCGGCGCTGCTGGAGGAGCGCTCTGGCTTTCAATCTCTGCCCTCAGTGGGGATGGGAGTAATTCTCTTTTAGCGAAGCGACGGAGGTGTGATAGCGGAAGGGAAGGGTCTTTGGGGAAAGCCGCGTCGAGAGCCCTAATTGAGGAATTAATTTGGTGTTCAGGCCGGCGAAGCAGGCGTGTCTGTATCTTACTTGATCACTTTGGATGCAGACTTCACATTGACTTCTGCGACAAAGGCATCGCCTATTTGTTGGTTAATCTTAATGTCGCAAGAAGAGGGGCGATGCTGTAGGTCATACCGAATTCTTCTGGAGGCCTTGTCTCCTGGACAGTCCGAATGGGAACCACTTGCCCGCCAAGGGGCTTGAGGCCTCTGATTGTCTTTTCGACGTCCATTCTAGCTATCTCAAATGACGCACCCAATCAGGCGCGGGGTGGAATAAAGTGAGTGTGTCAAGATAGGTTAACCATGTACAATGGCATAGACTAAAACCGGTTCCAATTTACAATGCCTTGAAATTGCGCTTAAACCTCAATTGCCGATGTCGACTTCAATAATTTAGCGAAAGAGGAAGCATCACATAGACTTGAAGAAAAGAAAGCTATACAAAGTTGGGAGTGCAAACAGTGCAAACTCTGAGTGCAGGTTTGCCGCTAGGCCTGTTTTAGTCTTTTTGGTCTGTATAGTTTCGGATTCTTCGAGGTAGGTACTTTATGAATGAGCCATTATATTATTGTACCATAGGAAACTAGGCCGCAAGGGAATAGCAATGGTAGTCGCTTCATCTAAGCCTCACACCTCTCAGCCTCACAGTGTATAGAATGCAAGAGCTGATGATGTACATAAAGAAAAAACACACGTTACGTCTACAATTGCCAGGGCTTAGATTATGAGTGGATATTTGAATTTTGTATGGTTCTATAAGAAACATTTAAGACAATAGGTGATTTGATCATAGATACCACCCTCATCCCTTGAGACATCAAACGCCGAAGGCCCTTTGAAAAAAAGAAATCGCTGGAAAGTAAGGTATTGCCCATTGACCTTTTGGTATATGCTGGAATAGATCCCTGTTCTAAAGAGCCATGTCTGATACCGATGCTCCTTGATATTAGATCAAAGCAATGGTGCATCTAGACCTGAATCACCCCCATAATGCAAGTGGTATGTATTAAATCACACCGCCAGTGACTCAGCGGGTGACAGGAAGAATCCACTCATCCATGGCTGACTCGAGACCGGCCCGAGTGGTCCAGGGCAGAACGTAATTTGTGCAGATTTCGCATCGGCGTAATTGGAGCGTATTGGTCCAGCCTTACGCTGAAACAGGACCGGCTGCTGGAGCAATGCCGGTTACTCCAGCTTTGGCACTACCATTTTGGCAGATGCCTTCAATTTCAAACCCGTCGCATCGATCGACGAGGCTCTGATAATAGTCCACCAACACTTCCGGCTGTGGGACAATGCGCCATTCGACTCGGAACAAGAAATCGAGTTCAAGCATGGCTAATTCCGTCATTCCGATTCCACCAACTCGAGCATACGTCTTGTTGGTCCAGAAGCTGTCGCTGAGTCCTTTGCTGGCGACTGTGGCGCTAGTGATCAGAAACCGATGGATGGTTAGGCTGGAAACAGTGAAGGCGGGGTACAACGCGCAGAGTCGATCGATGTAGTAGACCATGCTGAGGAGGATAGGGGGTGAGAGAGTAGCGTGGGTCGTCAATCGCTGTAGGTAATCTTGCACGGAGATTCGGGGCGGAGAGCGCGAGTGAAAGCGAGTCAGACGACCCTGGTGTAGTGGAATCTTGTCGTTGAATCGGATCAGCTCCATGAGCATACTGGAGATCAGCACGACCATGTCACGGGGGTCGGCCAGTTCATATTGCGTGGGCAACATCTTGACATCTGGTTTGGAAGGTCGCAGGCGCTTGGACTGCGATCTCTCCAAATCTTCGCCATCGTAGTCCGCCGGTGCCGCATCCGATGAGTGATGGTCGCGTTGGCTGTTGCGCTTGTTGGAACCCGGGGTAGGGGCGGGCATCGAGGGGGCGGGGGAGGAAGTCGGGGGTGGATTTGTAGATGTGGCGGTCGCCGGGGTTGCAGTCACAGTGGAAAAAGTGGTCGATTGGGGGGTCGAAGCCAAGGCCGAATTGTTGACCAGAGTTTTCAAAGTGTCGGATGTAGATGCGCGCCTACGCTGAAGATCTGAAGTTTCAGGAGAGGAAGGATCGACAGTATGTCGATTCAAAGCTGAACGAAGTTCGTCAATGGCCAGACGCGAGGACCGTGGACTATTGAATTGTGGAGCGCCAGTAGGCTCATAGTGGGAATGCGACCCCGAAGTTGAAGGAAGCGGGGAGCGCAACGCAGCCGTTGAAGGCGAAGGCGAAGACGCCAACATATTAAGTTATTAAGGAATGCTAGACTGAGCATTCACAGTGCAAGGTGAGACCACGTGGGCGCACAGTCAGGGCGCGCAGTGGATGGCGTGGGTGCACGGCCGGCCTCATTCTCAGAGGCTTAAAAAGGGAGGAAAGCAAAAGGGATGTAAGGATTATAAAGGTTAAAGAGAAGATGGGGGGGGGGGGGGGGGGGGGGGGGGGAATGCTTCCGACCTTTTAGAAAGGGGCGAAGTTGAAAATCTTGTTCGTTGGGGGGTGAGGTAATTACATTCATGCTGTCAGTGGCTGGTTGCTTCCGGTGACTGTACCGTTACAGTATGGGTAATTTTTTAATTTTTAATTTTTTTAAAAATTTATTCAATTGTTATATATCGGTACATATGTGTCTGATATCTAAAGTGGTATTAGTTAAAGAGTGATGTATTTGATACATGTAGTATTTAGGTGCAAATAACCCTCTTGTATAGTCTATTTCCCTTAACAGTAGGAATGAATGATTTACCAACGTGACTGGGAATACTATGTAATAATGAATCTACATGTAACTCCAGAGGGATATACCTGTATCCAGAAATAACTAAATTATCTCATATGGGGCAAGTCCTTATCACTATTACAGTCCAATATACTTACTCTCGGGACTTTAGATCGAGCCGGGAAGCGGGGGTAACTACCGTGCCCTAGCTGGATGAGGTTAAAGCGCCAAGAGTCCAAGTATACAATTATTGTACTTCATACATTTATTGGAGTTCTATATGCAATATATGACTAAATATACCTAACCGATCTACTGAGTATTTGATTTTCTAGACCTAGATTCAGGAGTATACTGGATTTGCTGCAATGTTGGCATATAGATGGCTGAGAACTGATACCAGGCTACATGTACTCCAGGGCTGAATCTAGATCAGTCAGGAGTTCTCCGTATGCAAGTATTGACTAATATTTATACACTTCTCATACTATCCCCTCTTTTCATAAAAAAGACAAACAATCTTGGAAACCATGACAATGTGTGTGGCATTGGACTCCAGGTGCTGCCCCTGTCACACTCGATAGCAGATCTGATTACAGAAGCATTTGGCGTGCTCAAATTTGTAACAAGATGCATACTATTTCGATATCCATGGCTCAGACCAGCGACAGCATGTAAAAGCAAGGCCGAGGGCCGCTCTTTCATTAATCCGGGGCCATTTTTCGGGGAACGGTGTGTTTCGGCAGAACCGAAGTGCGGAGTACCTCTAGGCCCGGCTCTACAGTTCCGGCTTGCCATCATATCTTATGTTGTACATCCAAGTCGACACAATCTTCTCATTGACGGATATAATTTCCTCAATATCATTCTAATATTCCCACCAATTCCAATCCAACACACAAAGTGAAACGTCGAGAACCTCCCGCTGGGAGGGGCTGATCGCCAGACGATGACGCGAGCTGCCGCACCGCCGATTCTGCTACAGCTACAGAGCGCCGAATCGGCATCCTCACAGATTACAGCTTTGCGCACTCTGAAGAACGAACTGATTGGTCATGACCAGCGCAAAGAAATCTACATTGTCGAGGGAATCATACCAGCTTTGGCACAGGTGCTGGCATCGAGATGGCCGGGAACGGCCGAGTCTAATGAATCGATACTGCACCACGGCCGGTCCACGCCAAAAGCCTCAGAAGATTACGAAGCATGCCTTCAAGCAACTTTAATTGTTGGGAGCTTGGCACAAGGTACGTGAAAATCAGATCCATGTCTAAATCCGCGAAGACAGACATTGACTGTACCGAGCAGGTGGTCCGACGTTTCTCACCCCACTATTCGCCAGCAATATCCCCCAAACCCTACTTTCAATCTTTTCGTCCCCGGACTGCCCCGATTCATTCTGTCTTCCCATTCTGCGACTCCTGAACACAATCGCAGACCGGATACCGTTGCAAAGCCAGGAACAATGGCCTCGAGACACACAGCTTGCCGATCTCATTTTTGCTTCTGCAAATATCACCTCTCTTAGACGCATAATATTGCAGGAATACACGAATCTGCGCAGCCAGGCTACGATCGAGTTAGCAGCCGCCCTGATCGGCAAGCTATGCACGGAGGAAACCCACAAAACGGCACTAGCAGAATCCGGGGTGTTGGACGCTTTGGCGCTCAAGATTGCCTCCTTTGTTGTGGCCAAGGGATTTGTCTTGCCTGGTGCAGAGGATCGCCTTCAAGAACCTGGCGCGTTGGACGACCTGCCACTTCCGGCCCCCGAATCCGCTCAGCTAGCACCAATTCTACGCGCAGTGGCTGTCATCATCGAACAGTCAAAATGGAGAGCGGAGCATTTTCTGTCATCACCTGGCATTGTAACGGTGTTTCCCAAACAAATCCCTGGGTTCGCTCCATCAGACATCAAGAAAGGTCCGTGGGGATCCACATATCTGTCGGGCTCCGCAGTACCCCGTCATCTTGGCACCAACCCCATAGAACAGCTTCTGCCGTCAGTGCCTCTAGCACACACAAAATCTTCATCCAGTTCTGCCAATTTCCCACCCCTGGGACATGGAGGCTCACAGCGCCGACACAGCCATTCTTACCCCACGCCTTTTTCACTGGCTGAGACGCCTGTCCCAGAAGACGACGAGAATGCGATTGTTCCATGGCTGCTCTGCATCCTACGCTCAGAGAATAGCATGACACGGTTGATGTCCGCACGTCTTGTCACGGCCCTCTTCCGGTTGGGATTGGCGAAGAAACATCGAGTCCCAATGTTCAGTTATTTGCTGATCCCCATCTTGATTCGTATGCTAGATAAGAACGTCCGACTGCCGGATGAAGAAGGCGCTATTCATGATGGGCTGCTCTCGTTGACCCTACGCTTGAAAGAGGAGGCGCCTGCCGTATTAGCCAACTTGGTCATGGACGACCAGGAGCTCCAGAGACACGCGGTAGAAGGCAATGCACTTAAGCGACTTTCGCAACTTCTCAAGGAGACTTACAACCCGATCATGGAGACATCCCGGCCGATGTGGCAAGCAGATGATAGCCCAAGCCGAGACCTTGAGTCTCTTTCACCAGAGTGCCGCCTCGGGCCTTCCGGTTACTCTCCGACCCTTTGCCATGTAATGCGTTACCGAGAGAACATTCTCAAGGCTTTAGCAGCACTCGTCCCATTCAAAGACGAGTACCGCAAGGCGATTTGCGAACATGGTGTAGTCCCTTACATCATTGACGCCCTCAAACCACGGCCTAGTGATGCACTGGCTGATGATGCGATGCCCAGAAATACTGCAGAGGATGGAAATCCGATTCCGACAATTCTGGCTGCTTGTGGTACAGCTCGAATGCTGACCAGATCCGTGAGCGTGCTAAGAACTAGTCTTATTGATGCCGGCGTGGCTAAGCCCCTGTTTGCCCTACTTCGCCATTCTGACCTCGAGGTGCAAATTGCAGCAACGGCTGCGATCTGTAACTTGGCCTTGGACTTCAGTCCTATGAAAGAGGTTTGTCCAAGTCTATATTTTGTTCGTAAACATTGCAGCTAACACAATGTTCTCAGGCGATCATTTCCCACAATATCATTCCCATAATTTGCGAACACGCCCATTCATCCAACACCAAATTACAGATTGAATCGCTCTGGGCTCTTAAGCACATGGTTTATGACACCGCAAACGACATCAGAATGAACATCATTGAGACTTTAGGCCCCGAATGGATTATGGAGGTCATCTCCCAGGATCCGGTCCGCGCTGTGGCTCGACGGGCGATAGAAGAGGAGACAGATCAAGGTTCCGGATTTGCGATGGGTCGATCTAACTCGGCTGGGGAACAGGTCGATATTCTGAACCCCATGGATGATGCAGCGGAGTGGGAAGAGGACCTCAAGATGACCGATACCATGCCTCCCTCCAAGATGAGTTTGGACATGTTCCTTCCTGATGCAAGACGTAGACGCAAACTCGTTCTTCACGGAACCCTGGCTCGAACCACACAGTCTCGACAGGACGATATTGCCGTCCAGGAGCAGACATTCGACTTACTGCGTAACATGATCTGTGGTCGGGGTGCACCTGAGATGATTGAATATCTCTTCAGAGAGCTAGGTCAGAACGATTTCCTTGATACCATCGCAGATACATTGCGACCACGTACCATCCAACTTCCTCACCGCCGGGACTCTAGCAGTCAGTCCCTCCAAGTTCCCAATGAGATCACCAACGCAGCCGCCGCTCTCATCGTCCACTTGGCGGCCGGGCACCCACGTCACCGGCGCATCGTCGCATTCCACAGTGACTTGCTACGGTCTCTGGGAAATTATTTCAACCATTCTCACAAAGACATTCGATCAAACTGTGTCTGGGTAGTGATTAACCTCATCTACGAAGAAGACCAGAGCGACCATGAAGGTTGTCGGGAACGGGCAGTGAGACTACGTTCTCTTGGGTTTGCGGAACGGCTGGCTAGCCTCGAGGATGACACGGAACTAGACACAAGGGAGCGTACGAAGACTGCGCTTCATTTGTTGAACAAACTGTCTCCCGCATAGTTGATATCTTTGTCATGGTTAGAGTTCCCTGTGGACGTTCTGGATGGATCGGAGTACTGTAGGAAAATATGGACGATTCTTTCTCTCTCTCTCTCTCTCTCTCTCTCTCTCTCTCTCTCTCTCTCTTTACTGAGCTCATCTCATATCGTACCTAAAGATAGGATCTATTAAACTTCAACTGAAAGCTGTAAGCATTTCATCTATATGTTAGCTTTTCCCGCAGTTCCTTGCCATTTCTCTTCGAGTAGGGCTAGGAGCATTTCATACCCAACACTCCAACTCTTCTCCAAAGTTTTACACCTTACGAGACTTAGTTATATAGAAATAGCCTTTTCCCACTTTCACCAGGCCAAATAGTCTCTCAAAGCCTAGGTAGGTATATATGCCCAAGTGTGTATGTATGTTGTTAGTGATAAGAGCTCTCTTATCGATGTGGAGAAAAACGTCATAGCCCTTGCAATCCGGTCTATTCACATCTGCATCTACCTACGTAGTTAAATATCTATCTAAGACAGATCTACTCTTCCTAAAGAAATCTTATAATGTCTCCAGTGCCAGAACCCATCCTTCAAGCCCTCTCACTCCCACCCGAATCAAAAGTTGACCTCTCCACATCCGGTCTAGGCTCAGGCTTCACAAGCACAGGCACCATCCACGCCCAGATCCCCGGCAAAAATGGAACAGAAGAGCGACGCTACTTTGTAAAAAGATCCTCAAATGGAAAAGCTGCAGAAGAAATGTTTCGAGGTGAATCCGAGTCCCTCAACGCAATCGCAGCCTCAGTGCCAGGGTTCTGTCCGCAAGCCTTAGCTAGAGGACCACTCGACGAGCCCGGGACAAATACCAAAACACACTTCCTCGCTACAGAGTTCCTTGATCTCAGTAGCAAGATGAGCCGCAGTACGGGCGACAAAACCACGCTCGCGCACCGCCTCGGAAAACTGCATACCACACCCGCACCCCCAGATCCGGACACCGGCCGGCATAGATTCGGATTCTCCGTGCCGACATTCTGTGGCGATACAAAGCAGCCAAACCGATTCTGTGGTAGCTGGGCTGAGTTCTATGCGAATGAACGGCTGCTTACGATCCTGGCTACATCTGAAGAGCGCAATGGACCCGACGCTGGGCTGCGCGAGGCGGTTGAGAAGACGGCACACAAGGTTGTGCCTCGATTGCTCGGGGATGGTCATTTAGGGTATACTTCTGGTGGTGAGGGCAAAGGGATTGTACCTGTTGTTATTCATGGGGATTTGTGGAGTGGAAATGCTGCTTGGGGTCGGATTGTTGGCTCGGGTCGCGATGAGAAGCCTGGAGATGTGGTGTATGATCCGGCGGCTTGTTATGGACACAGTGAGTTTGAGCTTGGGATTATGCATATGTTTGGTGGGTTTGGGCCTCGGTTCTTTGAGCAGTATCATCGTATTGTGCCAAAGACTGAGCCTGTGGCGGAGTATCCTGATCGGCTGGAATTATATGAATTGTGAGTTGTTTTTTTTTCCCTTCTCTTACACTTGGACAAGTTTACTAATTATAGTTCAAAAGATATCACCATTTGAATCATCATGCTATTTTTGGTGGAGGATATCGATCTGGTGCTATGTCGATTATGCAGAAGTTGATCAGGAAGTATGGAAGGGACTAGAGTCTATGGCTTTTGCGAGATTTTCTATTTCTTTTGTCGTATGCTTTCAAATTCCAAGCAGCATCTAGCTTAGAGGCACTGTTCAATCAATAAACTTAAGAAATGATGTCACGCTAGTTAGTATCCACGACTTGTCCGCTCTGATATCTTCCTCTTTTCACCTTGAACACCAAATTGTATTCTACAATGCCAGCTCATCCTGATTCCAATCTCTATCCCGAGGCCAGTGGTGCTGCCAAGACGCTGGTCGATCAGCATCGCGCTGAACAGCCATTAAAGTTGTATGCGGGGTGGTTCTGTCCGTATGTACATGGCCCCTCTATCCTCAAGGCAAACGACTGATAACCAGCTATCCAGCTTTGGTTTGTCCCCAGCTACTTATTCATAACTACCAATATTAACAAAACAAAGTGCAACGAGTCTGGCTCGCCCTCGAAGAGGAAAAGATCCCGTACGAATATATCGAGGTCAACCCATACAACAAGCCAGACTCACTACTCAGACTAAACCCCCGAGGCCTAGTCCCTACACTCACAACGCCAGCAGATCCACACCCACGGCCACTATACGAATCCACTGTGATCCTGGAGTATCTGGAAGAAGCATACCCAGATCACCAACCCCGCTTCCTCCCAGAGGATATCTACGAGCGTGCCCGCGCACGCATTTGGATTGACTATGTGACATCTCGCATAATCCCATCTTTCCACCGTTTTTTGCAGTGCGCAGAACACAGATGCCGGGTTGGTTCAGGCTCGGCAAGAGTTTTTGAGTCACCTGAAAGCCTGGGTGAAGGAGACGCACACCGAGGGACCTTTCTTCCTTGGTGGGGATATTAGTTTACTGGATCTGGTTCTGGCTCCGTGGGCCGTACGACTGTGGGTGTTTGATGAGTTTAAGAGTGGTGGATTGGGGATTCCGAGGGAGGGGGGAGGGGGTGCAGATGAGAGTATTTGGAGCCGGTGGAGGACTTGGCCGGCTGCTATTGAGAGCAGACGGAGTATCAAGAAGACTACAAGTGATCGTGCGCATTATCTTCCCATCTACAAGAGATATGCGGATAATACAGCTCAAAGTGAGTTGGCTAAGGCGACCCGGGCTGGTCGTGGGGTTCCTTGAGGAATTTGTGAGGCAATGTCATGCTACTCATGTAGCTGTAGTATGATCAACACGTTAGTAATTGCACATATGTTTTCAGGAAACGAAACATACACTTCGGTATGCGGAAGAATATATTTCCGATAAACCGACACGTGATTGATAGCTCTTGAACCGACACGTGATCGCTATATCAATCCAGTCACTGCGCGTCTGCATCTTGCAACTTCCAAAGACATTGCTTAGTATTGCCATATTTCTAAGAAATCCAAGGAACCGTCATGGCACGCAATATGAGGGACGAGTCTCCTCGCGGGAGCTCAACGATGGAACCCGGCCTATCAGCCCCGGCCATCCACCCGTCTTTTATACAGGTGGCCAACCCATACATATTCGAACAGACAGTCGAAAACTGCATCGAGGCGATGAACGTTAACCCTCTTCGTGAAACCTCATTGCGTCTTCAGGGCGTGGCATGGATCGACAGCGTGCGGAGAGCCCTCAACCTGTAAGTTAGCTTCAAGCCTGGCAAAATGTATCAAACCTAACTAGAAATCCAGTCCCATTCGCACTTTTGACACAGCAGTGGGATATTATCACCGATTTCGATTAGTGCACCCGGATAATGAGTATAATTTCACAGTGAGTCCTCTCGGAAATCCCTCAAGCAGACCAGCCTAACTCTGAATATAGGATGCTGCGGCTGCGGCTTTGTTCACAGCCTGCAAGATCGAAGATACGCTGAAGAAGTCTCGAGACATCGTCTGCGCAGCGTACAACTTGAAAGTAGCGCCATCAGAGCACTTATCGGCCGATGATCCCGTAAGTCATGATGCCAGATGAGACAAGACTGAGGATTAACGCTTGTCGACAGATGTTTGAATCCAATGCGCGTGGCATCATCGGTCTCGAACGACTCATGTTAGAGGCCTCAGGCTTTGACTTTCGAACCCGGCATCCCCAAAAGACCCTCATGAAGCTGGGTCGGCATTATGGACTACTAAAAAACTCCGAAGTCTCCAATCTTGCCTACCGCATTTCGTCCGATCTTTACCGTACATTTGCACCCATCAAACAAAACTCATCGACAATGGCTTTTAGCTGCCTTGAGCTTGCAGGACGACTCTTGGACCAGCGCGTCGAACAAGTGGAATCCGGGGTAGACTATGCGCAGTGGAGCACCAACCGAGCAGAAATCATGGGTAAGTATTGTTGTTGTTGCATTCGCATTCACCTAGCGAGTGCCACATATTAACAGCTATCCAGAAACCCTCTTCGACCTGTTAGAACTCTACACCCACCACCGCTCACAGACCGCCGTCGGCTCGGAATTTCCAGCAGACCGGTTCCTAACAGTCCGCATCCCGTTAAATCAAGAAGCCAGCGAGCACAACATCCCACGCTACCACCCGTGGATCGACCAGCCACACAAACAATCCAACGGCAGTGGCGCGAACGACCAAGATGCTCCACGACCTGCTCATCCCTTGACACCAATTGCAGCGAACGGGGATCGCCAGAGGACAGGCGAGCGAGGTCGCGACGCCGCCGTGCGATTTATGCTGGATCCCGCATGTGCGGATGAGGAGAGGCGACAGGTTGCAGCGTACTTTAAAGTCGAAATGGAAGAATATGAGGTCGACGGGTGAAAGGTGGCTATTGCTATTTGCGTTCTTAGCACCTGCGTTCCTGACACCTGGTGTGTCTCATACGACGAAGCGCAGGCGAGAGACGGCTTTGCTTGTTCCCGTGAACCGATAATATGATAGCGGGTTTGGTATTGAGCTGGGATGGGGCGCCCCTATATACTATGTTCCATCTTGATTTCAACATAATAATGCTCCGATCACAGTGACTCGCTATTGACCGTTCATCCCCATTCTTGTTGGGACACGCCGGCATCCTTGCTAAGCTCCAGTAAGAGGGCTTTGTGCGCACTTTTCTGGGCAGATGGGCGAAGCACTCGGTTTCTTGCTCCACAGTTTCCGAAATGAGTTATCTCGGACGCGAGACACTCACATTCTAGAAGTTTCCCCTCTTGTTCCATATTTCCCTTGATTTCCCGATACCCCAGACATTTATGACTAGTGACGAGATATCGATAGATACAATGAAAAGAACCATTACCTATCGATAACTGGTTTCTCATTGTAGGACAACATAGTGATGGATCTTTACTGTACATACGGACCCATTCTTACGGAACAATATATGGAGTAAACCAAAATCAGAAATCAGCTTCAAAAGTGGAATTGAAAGCTATGTACAAATCTACAGTCTGTTCCCTTCACGTGTCCAAAAACAGCGAAGCTAGAGACAAGACCGCCAGAGCAAAAAACACAGACATACCCCCCGCCATCCCCCCTTCTTCTACCGCTTCTGTAGAGGGATGTGTCCGTTCCACGCATCAAGTATAGCAGAGCTCCAGGTCAGGATCGACCGAGCAACAAGTCATCAAATTTAGGCGATCAGAAAGAGAAGAGAAGAAAAGGGAAAAAAATAGTAGTGAACAAAGGTACAGGGAAATAACTGTGAATGAAGAGAGAAAAAAGTCGTCCCTATGCCTCCGGCGTGGAGAGTTTCGGTCTTCACACCGGTTCATTAGAGCCCTTGCCACGGGTCATTTTGTTGGGTGTTGATGCCGTGTTGAAAGGCGGGTAAGGCGAGCGGGGCGCATGTATGTACATAACACGCATGCACACATTAAGGCTTGCATGCATATTCGATGAACCCAAATCAAGTCCCGAATGAAACAAGAAGCAATCGGAGGAGAGTTGCAAGGGGGGAAGCGCGGGGTTGAAAGGTCGTCCTCGAGTGGTGGAAATGAAAGTGAAAGATGAGTGTCATGAATTTGGATGGTGTTTTTCAGTCTGAATGCCGGATAGTTTTAGGTTCATCGACGCTTGAGTTCGGTGAGAAGGCAATCCAGAATCTGGGAGAAGTTAGTAATATGATCATGGTAATTGGTTCAAGGAAACATACCGATTCTGAGACGGCGCCCTGGTTGTACAAGTACTTGCCCAAGCCACGGACGACCTCGAGCTGCTCGTCAACTGTAAGGCCATTGATGGCAGTCTCGATGATATCGCCCACACTAGCCTTGTAGACAGCAATGAAGCTGTGGTAGTACATGAAAGAGAAGAAGCCCATGATGAACTGGCAGTCCATGCGGTCAGTGATACCACCGTGGCCAGGAATGGACTCGCCAAAGTCTTTGATCTTGAAGGTGCGTTTCAGACCGGAAGCAAAGAAACCACCGAACGGAGCAATCAGAGAAGCGAAAGTGGCGAAGGCCAAGATGTGGAACTGAATAGGTTCCACCCAGAAAGTCTTGTCCACGCCAAAGATTTCAAGAGAGTAGGGTTGCGACGTGAAGACCGGGTTTGGATCACATTCCAGACCGGTCAAAGCATTCGAGCCCAGGTCATTGACAGGACAGATGAAGTACTTGTAGCGAATCAGCAAGTTGGTCATGAAATAACCAAAGCCAACGGTGCAGATCCATGCACCAAGGAATCCCTCGACAGTCTTCTTCGGGGAGAGCTGAATAAGTTGTGTCTTTCCAAAGCTAATACCGCAGACATATGCGAAGATATCATTGGTGATGACCAACGCAGCGGGGAGGAAGAACCAGATCATGCCCTCGAAAATGTTGTTCATGACAAAGTGAGCTTGGACAACAATCAAATACAAAGCCATATGGGTCCAAGCAAACTGGGTGAATTGGAATCGGTAATGGCCCTTCTGCAGAGATCCGACAAAGAACACGAATCCTATCAACCGGGATTAGCAGGGTAAAAGGGGAGCAGTCGACCTCGACACTTACCCATTACGTAAAGTGTGAAGCTGAGGAAGCGGTGGTGGTTCGCCAATGGAAGCAAAACCTTGTCAACAAGCAGGATGTGCTTAAAGTAGTAGATCACGCTCTCCCCGTACAGGAAATACATAGTGGTCGCCAGGAAGTACCAATTCAACGATTTGGTGAACCGCAAGTTCTTCTCCTTATTGGGGATACTGGCGATAGCGATGACTTCCTTGAACGAGATGATTTGGATGCCAGTGATCAGGGCAATAATATAAATGTGACCGGAGAACAAGGCGACGAAGAAACCGGCGATCATCACAAAAGTCCATATCGTCCGGGTAATGAAGGTCTGCTTCTTCTTCTCATATTCGGACTGGGGGGATTCTAGATATAAAGATCATGTCAGAGCTAGAATTCGATGCCATACTCCACTGAAAACCGACCTCCTCATTTATTGTAGACGGTTTAGACCCATTGCCATTTTTGCTGGGGCTAGTGGGCTCTGAGGGCGCATCGCTGACGTCGGACACGCTGAGGCGTCGCTCATCATTTAACCGGTGTTGAAACCTAACATTACGGCGAGATTTTGACATGATGGAAGAAAAAGGGGCCAGAAAGAGAATCTGGGCAACAGGAGTGGAGAGTGCAGAGAGAGAGGGTCATCGGGATGAGAGGTTGATGAGCTCATGTGAAGTGCCGTGCCAAAAGCGGTCAGCTTCAGCTTCAGCCCCGTGTTGACCTTTTTTTTTCTTTTTTGTCCTTTGCTTGGTTCTTTTATACCTGGTGTATTATTCGGTTTTATTAATTGAATCAATTATTTGAACTTATATTATGTTCGTGACTAGAAATTGAAATTGGATGTGCAGTGTTGTTGTCCAGGTACCTTGAACTGCCGTGTTATCTCTCTTCTCTTCAACCTCGGAACCACTCGAACTCGAGAATGATCAAAAGCCATCCGTGAACCTAGAACCCGCCAACTCCCTCTGGTAGTCCCTTCATGGCGGGGGTATGGAAGACGACGACGACGACTACGGCTCTGACGAGTTTGACTCTCTGCCACCAGGAACGTTGTATGAGCTGGAACAATATGCGTTTCGAGCAACCCAGGTGTCAGCCTCACAGTACCACACAAATCCCATAAACAGCAACCCTGTGCTCCGCGCTCAAGCAGTTCCATTAAACAACAATACTGGATCACTGAGACCGCCGCCCCGTCTACACACCGGCTTGACGAACGACTACAATACACTGGAGGTGGGGGAATTGGAGGCCGAGGTGTACGATAATGTTGGGAAACCGCATGCCATTCCGCATGGTCAACATGTACTGGCCCCGGATCCTGGCGTTGCAGCCAATGAGCAGCTGGGCGAGGCCATGGATGTGGACGAGTACTATGGGCAAGGGAACGCCGCTGCGGAGATCAATGCACGCCTGGTGCAGGTGAGTTAGTTGAAAGCTTCTTTGCATAAACTCTAACAATCTTGTATAGATGGAACAAGAAAGAGAACACATATTACAGGAGCTAGCCGAAGCGAGGATGCAGGTGGAAACGAAAGCCGGGGAAATTTCGATCATTCGAAGGAAGCAGACAACGATGACACAAGACTATGACCGGAAAATAGCGGCTCTTAGGAAATCTATGGCCGACGGAATGGCGAAACACAGGCAAGAGATCGAGGCAGCCATGTCCGAAGGCAAGGTACTGGCGACAGAGAATGTATTTCTTCAACAAGACCTCGTGGATGAAGCCTACCAGCTTCGGAACTACAAATCCAAACCACGCAAGACGGAAGCTCCAGTGACTCCTCGAAAGCCCCGGGTGCCTCCCTTCCGCGATGGATTTGAAGATGACGAAATAACCATGGTGTCTCCCAGCAAGTCTGCAGCGCGTTCTAAGCGAGCGACGCCGACAGGTCCAGGAAAGCGCAAACGGCAATCAAGCCAAGATAGCGCCGTGCCACTACAGCTGAATCCCGCTGGTGTGGAGCTTATCATGACTGATGCGACTGATACTCCGGCCGAAGTCGACGAGATGAAGCGCAAGTTTGCAGAGGGGAGTCGCAACCAGCGATTTATGATGCGACTTTTGAGCCACCGTACACATCCCAACCAAGAAACAGATTTCGAAGCGATGGCCAATCTTGCGTTTCCCTCAGAGCCACATCGACCCATGTCCAGCATCGTTATGGAGGTCATGGCTCGTGTCGACCCGAGCAGCTACGTATCAGAATATACGCAAACGATCGCTTCGCTGTGGCAGCGCGCCCTCAACGAGAAATTCTACGAGCCGGTCCCCCGATTTGAAGCTATCACAAAATATAGTTTGATGTCAGACGACGTCCCTCTCTCCGAACTGATCACGCCTCTAGTTGGAGTCTTGCAAGATACCGTGGAAGTGAATGCAGTTCCTCGCTTCAAGTACGCCCCGGCATCACGAGATAAACGAATTACTCGACAGACACCACAGTCAGATCTGCAGCCCCTAGTCGACTCGACTGGGGCCATGCGTCTACTTTACCAGATTGCCTGTGGAGTATTGCACATCAAGAGTGCAATGGAGACATTCTGGCAAAACATCCGGATCTCGTTCATTCTCGTGATGTTGCACCCCTCACACCCACTGGGTGACATTGTGCTTCTGATGAACCTCCTATCAACGAGTATTCGTGCAGACTCATTTGGTCCAATCAGAACTTCCGACCAGGACCAATTGGACGTGCAAAAGTGGATTGTGGACCGCCTCACGCACATGCTGAGCGAGCCCGCGATACCGGATGAAGGCGTGGAGCCATACACCGCACACGACATTTGCGCAATGCGCCTCGAGGTCCTGCTGCTGCTGGAGTCGCTTGCATTCAACCCTATGGCCCCATCCCAAAAGCATGCCAGTACCATCCTCGCATTGCACCCGAATGCACTCGCCCGTTTATTCCGGTCGATGCACGATGAGCTGGATGCACTTTACTCCTCCCCGCCAGAGTCAGACCTGCGTGTTGCGTTAGTGAATGGCCTTATGCGGCTTATTTTTGGGGTCATGCGACAACATGGCCCCTTGATCAATATGCAAGAGAAGCTCGCGTGTGTTCCTGGCAGCAAGCAGAAGCATCTCGTTGTGCTAACTCGCTTGGCATTCTGTGATGGGACCGTGCTAGAGGCGGGTATTGATGATGAAACCGTTGATATGGCGCACGAGCTACTCGAGGAATGGACTAATCCTCAAGAAGCAGAGTCATTGGCGGAGGCATTCCCAAGTTCTAGGAGAGAGTGACATAGTGGAGATAGGGGAGATGTTCAACGTTGTACGACTGGGATTTTTGTATGCATTTAACATGGCGCGATGTGTTCTTTGGAGTTACTAGCATGTTTCTTTACCGTATACCAAATCAATTTAATTTTTGTATCTTTTAAAAGTATTCAAAAAATGAGCGGAAATTTGCGGAGTACACATAATTCCAGTAAGAGAGGTTTGAGACCAACAAACGGGAGTAACATTTACAATGGTGAGTCCATCTGCTAATGCCAGACTCAGCGGTGAAGAGATGGGGAGGGACCAGGCAAGGCAGTATGTTGTAAAGAGAGCAGTTGGATTTAACATAGAGAAGACAGTCCTGGCACCATACCGAGGGTCACGCGCATTCTAGGGAAATTTACTTGGGGGGTGCTCTGGGTAGTATATTTTCATCTATAACGCTCTGGGATGAGCGCGCGCATCATACCGCATCAGAACTTGATTGCTATACAAAAACGGACTTGCATCACTTCATTGCGAGGTCTAGATTTAAGGGTAACAGTACGGTCCTCTTCTCCAACCTCGCGCCACTGGCCCAAGAATTGATGAAAAAGAAAATGTTCCACGAATGGAGGTGCCAAAGAATACGCCTGTCAATGACCCGAAAGCCATTGAACAGACTGTTCCTCCGCGCTGTGCAATGCAGGGACCAGCCTGTGGTGAACCGCCTTGTTGATCGCAGTCACCCAAACAAGGTAAGTATGAAGAAGAAAGAAAAAGGACAGGAACAGCCGGGGGAGAGGCAGCTATATATACACTTTCTACAGGGCGGTGGCAGAATCTTCATGGGGCTGGAATTAAGCGAAAATTGATTGGCCAATCAGCTATAATTCCCCCTTACATAAGATAGTTACAAACTTGGTAACCTAACATTGCAACCACTGCAAACACTGCATCACGCATAACTAGTTAACTAGTTAGTTACCAGCGTAATATATTCCTTATAATTAAGGCAACCATTTAACATCACGTGCCCTGAAGTTTTGAGACTCGGCCAATTCGGACTGGATAACATATCATTTTGCTATACAGCATTGTTTCTACAGCATCACCACAATGAGAAACAGAGCTAGCAATACGTTGTCGAAAGGCGTATGTCTCTACCACTATACTTGATTTCGCCAGTTCCAAAATACTAACAAAATACTGTTCAGAAAATCCGTCAATCATGGAGCAAATACAACCTGTATAACCTGCAACGATTCCGCAGTCCACCGACCGCCAATCGCACATTCTTCCAGCAAAAATGGTCCGCTAAGGCTGCATCCCGTGCCTATCACGGCGAGCAAGTCCGCGAGGGACAATGGAAACGCATGTTCAACCATCGCATCCGCAGTGTTATCCCCATGAATGCCGCCGACTTGGCCGCCGATGACGGTTCCCTAGTCTCGTCCGGTCGAGGCTCAGGTCTCGATAAGGATGGGAAGTCCGCTTACCAAACACGTCCTACACCTTACAGCCACATGACCTTTGCGCCCCTAGAGCGCCGTTTGGATGTGGCCATCTTCCGGGCTCTGTTTGCTAGCAGTGCCAGACAAGCGAGACAGTTTGTCATCCATGGAGCGGTTACTGTTAACGGTCAAAAGGTATGACGCGCCGTGGAAAGCTACCACTTCCTTGGTTACTGACTCGCTTTTGTGTTGCTAGATGAAACACCCCAGCTACCTCCTTAACCCCGGTGACCTCTTTCAGGTCGACCCAGATCGAGTCCTGTACGCTACTGGTCATACGAAGACTTCGTTTGAGCGACGTGAGGGCCGATTGGCTCGGAGAAAGGCGAAATCACAGAAGTCACAGGAAGCCGAGGAAGCCGAGGCCGCAGAGGCGGAGTCAAAGGAGACCGCAAAGGAAGATATCAAGGAGACTCCAAAGGAAGATACTAAGGAGACCCTTAAGGCGCTACTGGCACAAGCCAAGTCTGTCATGTCTGCCGGCAAGGATACACTCGCGCCCCAGCGCAAGCAGGAGCTCCGTGGCTTCCAACAAGCTGTCCGCCGCGTATTGTCCCGCTCTGAGTCCAGCACCATCCTCGCAGACAGCCTGGAGGCCCAATTCTCCCAGTTGACCCTGCTTCTCAAGGCCAAGCGGAGCGAGAAGCCAGTTAAGAAGGATGTGAAGCCCCGTCCAGAAGACGCCTTCGCATCCGACAACGGAGATACAGAAGTGGTTTCCGCCAAGCGAGATACAGAAGCCGCAGTCAGCGACAAGCTTTCCGAGGCCTTCGCACAGGCAACACTGGGTAATGATGTCGATGCCTCGGAGCTCAGCGACGAAGAGTTCGACACGCTCCAGCGCGCTCTTACTCAAATGCGCGACAACCCTCTCGACAACTCCAAGACCTACTCCACCCCCTGGCAGCCACGCCAATACATGTCTGCGTTTGCCTTCATCCCGCGTTACCTCGAGGTCAACCAGAACATTTGTGCAGCCGTGTACCTGCGCCACCCCGTGGCCCGCCCCGGTTCCGCCGAGGTGCCCACTCCCTTTGGCGAGTCCATTGCCACTCCGGCTTATGGCTGGTACCTGAGGAGACGGTGGTAGAGGATTCGATTGGCCTGTCTTTCTCTGCCTAGCCCGTCCCTTTCTTGTTTGTCTCTACTACTTTACTATTTTCCTTTCCCTAAACTTCCCATCTATGTATTAGTGGGCGCTTAGATCTCCTCGTCCCTTTTTGCATATTTCTGGATCATGTTGACCATGGTGTTGGTTCCTGTTTTGCTTGTCTTTGGAGCTTTTTGTGTCAGCTCCACCCCCTGTACCACCATAGCCACGATGTGTTGTAAATGGATATATTATTGATGCTATTGTTTCGCGCGGTAGATTGGCCAGTCATTTGTATGATTCTTTGAGTACTCCGTAGGCATGGCTGCTTTGCCCGCTTATTATCGGTGGATACTATACCGAATAGCCTGTTTTTGATGTAATATTGGCTTCTTATTCCCGAAGAGATACAAGGGCCTCGCATGAAGTACAGAGATGATCAAAATTGTAGACAATTACCTAGAGGTGGTCGAAGCTCCAATTTATATATACATCATGAATATAAAAACGTGCAGGCAATGAAGACAGAAACCCGGCGAAGATGTATATAATCCAACCGAATACATATAATTAAGCACAATCAACAGATTTTAATGTTTCAAATTGTTTAATTGAAGCTCATTTTCTCTCTACAGGCTCGTATAGCCAGATATATGCTTGGCGCACGGACCTTATCGAAAACCCTTAGGTGAAATCCATCGCAGCTTTATCTTTATCCCCACAGATCGACAAGGACATTTTGCATTGGTCTGCTACACTATTGTCACCTTATTGATGGCTGAGTGACTACTTCGAACTAAGGAGACTATCTCCTGAACCCCATAGACCACTCAACTTGCACTGTTGGTCTCCCACAGCGACTGCTCGGCTACTACTATTGCTACTGCGCAAGCTGCTGTCCCCATGACGCGCCTTCAACCACACGAATACAGCCATCCTTCGTATCACTCTCCTGCACAAAACTCCTTTGGAACGGTACCATCGGGCCTGCGCTCAGGGTTCAGCCCAGCTTCCCAGTCCTTGTCCGTGGTAGTGAGGAATCCACCTACGGCGGCCGATAACACATCAGAGAGCAGCGAAGAGACGCCTGGGGGGACAAACCTAACCGAAAGTGATCCACGGGAAGGAGGTATCCTAGAAAGCGATATATACTATGCGCCGATGCCAGTGGGCGTAGCTCAAACCAGCGAAGGAGATGGATCAAGGCTGATGTCAAGATCAACCACTAACAGAGGCACGAAACGCAACCACAATGCCGACGATGAGCTCGATGGCGATAGTTCGCGGCAGCATAGACGTCTCACGACCAAAGAAGAAGTAGCACTCTTCGAGATCTGCAACCGAAATGCAGATACTTTCGGCAGCCGCAGTAATCTGTGCAAGTGGTGGATATCCATTGCCGACGAGTTTAAGCGCACCCACGACGGCCGCTCATACTCGTGGCATTCGGTGCGGCGCAAAGTCGAATTGGTCACGAGGCAGCGCATCAAGTTCCTCGAGGACCAGCGACAGCGGGGCTCGAACGCACCCGGCTCAACGGCCGAGGAGTTGATGAACCCCCAATGGCTCGCTGCCGTTGATGCCTGGCTTCCGACTTGGCAGCGCTGGGAAGAAGCCGAGAACCGGCGCATTGCAAAGCGGGATGAGCTTAAGAAGCGTAGACAGCCGCAGCCCTGGCGCCAGAATTCCAAAAACGGAGACCAGGATCCATGGCAGAACCTGCCTGGGTCATCTGCCACTAGCCCAACTGATGTCAACGCCTCAATCATGGGTATGATGCATCACCCTGTCCCCAGCCCCGTCGGTGATACTGCACTCCCGACAACCAGCCCTACGCCCTCGCCCTCAATTACTGGCCCTGCACCACCCACGCATTTCCTCGAGTCACCGTCCACCCCTATCTCTGCGACCACCTCGCTGAAACTTCCACCTGGTTTCGAGAATATGTTCTCAACCCCACAACTCACATCACAAGTCGCACCTCTGCCCTCCATATCTACCCCACCAGTTCCACAATCCGATGGCTGTATGGTCTCAGCTGTCCTCGAAACCCTAGGAAAACTGAACAAACACTTAGACGCCGCATCGGGGAGTGGTATAGATACGAGTGCAGCCTCACCTGTGATTTCGGCTCTGGTGCAGGCTGCTTCGGAATCACCGATTCTGGCATCTCCCCGGCAATCACAGCACCCACAAGTACAGCCTGTATTACAGCAACAGTCACAGCCATCGCAAGGTCCCACTCACATTCAAATCGAACAAATGAAGGAAGAGCTCCGGCAGGAGATGCAGGCCCAGTTTCGAGGTGAGCTGGAGCGCGAACGTATTGCGATGGAAGAAAAGCTGGATTCTGTGCAGCGGACTCAGGACCTGATTCTTGAGATGTTGAGACAGGAGCCTGCTTGATGCAGATGAAGTCTTAGTCCGGTACTTCTTCTCTAGGCATGGCCTTGTACTGTCTCATTTCCTTCTATTCTTGCTTGTACTTTTACTGTTTTTTTCTCTTGCTTTTTTTTCCTGATATGATACCCATTATCGACTGCGAACTCTTGTACTTTCTTGATGAAGAAGACATTACAAGACTACTTCCTAAAATTTGATGCGCTCAACTTGACAAGGACCCAGCCGATGGCAATTGCTCTCTACTCTAGAACAGAAAACAGGTAAACAAACATAAGAGAAAATAGTCATCGGGCTAAATTACAGATAAATGATAGAACGACCCAAGAATGTTTTCTCGAGCCTTCACACAAGGATTAAAAGCTCTTCCATGATGCACAGAAGTGCCTATAGGGCGAAACAATCTAGTAGTAGAAAGTCTCATCGACGGTACGACCACGCATCCACTTGGGCTCAGAGCCACGGACGTAGATGTCCTCGAAGAGGTTGCGGGCAGTGTTCTCGGGGAAGGGCATCTTCTCAGCCTCGGCGACCTCAGCGTCGACGTTGGCACGGGCAGTCTTGTCGAGACCCTTGAGCTCCTCCTCGGAGGTGACACCCCACTCGAGCATCTTCTGCTTGAGCCCAGCGATGGGATCGTTGGTGCTGCGCATGCGCTGGATCTCCTCACGGCTGCGGTAGGTGGTACCGGGGTCGGACATGGAGTGGCCACCGTAACGGTAAGTGACGTACTCTAGGACAAGGGGACCATTGCCGGAGATGGTGTAGTTCTTGCTGTACTGGACGGCGGCCTTGGTGGCCAAGACGTCCATGCCGTTGACCTTCAGACCGGGGATGTACTGACCACGCTTGTAGTACTCGGTCAGAGCGGATGAGCGCGAGGCGGAGGTACCCATGCCGTACTTGTTGTCTAGAGGGACATATCGTTAATACATCTGTAGGTTTTCGAGGGTGTAAAGATTTGATATAAATCACTTACTCTCACAACCGAAGAGAACGGGAAGGTTCCACAGCTTGGCCATGTTGAAGGCCTCGAAGACTTGGCCCTGGTTGGAGGCACCGTCACCGTAGAGAACGATGGAGGTGTTGGGCTGCTCGTTGTACTGCTGGGCGAAGGCCAGACCGGCACCGACGGGCACCTGGGCACCGACGATACCGTTACCGCCGTAGAAGTTCTCGGCGAACATGTGCATGGAACCACCCTTGCCGTACGCGATACCCTCACGACGGCCGAGAAGCTCACCAATGATGGACTTGACGGTACCACCACGCATCATAGCGAAACCGTGGCAACGGTAAGCGGTAATAATCTTGTCCATGCGGGTGATGGCGTGCTCAATTCCGACAGCCACGGCTTCCTGTCCGGTCGACAGATGGCAGAAACCACGGATCTTCTTCTCCTTGTACAGGCGATCGGCAGCCATCTCCATACGTCTGCAAAGGAACAAGCAGTCAGTGGCTAGTTTAAGCATCCGCTGTTGTGATTATCGTACCTCATCGCGACCATGTCGTAGTACATCTGCTTGAGCTCTTTCTTGGAGGTCTCGAGAGTGTACGGGGGTGGGTCGAGCTCGTAAGTCTCGAAGCTCTCATCGGAGAGACGGACAGTGAAGAGCTTATCATCCTCCTATTACAGCGCAAACAATCATCAGCAATTGAAATCCGGAAACCTTCCGGCGAAGATTTCAGTTTTCCGGATAGGGCTCAACAAACCTGCGGCACCGGGCTCTCGACGTTGGCGGAAGCGGCATCGGTGGTGACAGTGCGACGGGCAATAGGAGTGAAGGCCTGACGCCTCAAAGGCGCAGCCTGACGGACCGCAGCACGGAAGAGCATTTTGTGAGGGAATTGGAGATGGTACGTTGAAGATGATAAGCACCTTTTTCCCGTCCCAACAACTCTCTTCAATTTTGCCGTCTTAGTCAGCTTCCAGATCGGGCCCGCCCGGTGAGGGAAGTCAGGCCGGTTCCGATACGCTTGAAACAACCTCTTGGATATTGTTTCCGCTATATTTGCTCGGATATTCTTATACTTGGCAAATGATTCCCTTGAAGGTCTCAAGATGAACTATTCCAACTAAGAATTGGTATTTCTATTATGTTTACTTGAGACTCCATTACGGGTTGCGACCTCCGATCCGATCCCAACGGTTCAGTGCGCCTCTATATAACAAGATCAATAAACAATATAGTCTTTATAGAGCAGAATATATATAAGACTGGGATATATCAGAGTGGAGGTGGAATACCAACAACCTAACTTGGTAAATGATAATAATTCTATTGCCACTTATGATATCAGAGTCTCGAGCAACTAGATCTGCATATGTCAAGGTCCAAAGTGTGTTTGTTTTGACCACGAGGCAGAAACAAGTCACTCCCGAAACGGATATCAAAGGGTAATTGACACCGATCTCAAGGCTATTGAGAGACATTACCATCGAGAGCCTCAAGCGGCCAAACGACCTTCTCGCCAATCCTTTTCAGCGGCGTCAGAACCCTCAATACTATGCGAATAAGGCACCAAGAGGATGGTTCATTGACCTTATTGACCTTATTACCCTTCCAATGGAAGTACAGTTTACTCTGGTGTCGTGTGTCGACCATCCACCCTCACAATTTAAAAGATTGCTTTCTCCCTCCATCACCACCTTCCTCTCTACAGCAGTTGTTGAACCGGCGTGACCAAGGTATCGTTGTTCCACGCCTCTTTTCCAAAGACAGGAATCTAACGAACCATCAAGCAGCACAAAGCGCGATATGGCGGAATCCGATGCCACAGCAAGCTTTACTACGGGTCCTCCCGCTGGCCCTCCCGCTGGCCCTGCGTCAGAGCCTCTGGTTGTGTTCGTTGCTCGTGGCGCTGCACCTCGCATGTACGACGATCTCGGCCAGCTGAAGTATTATCTTCGCCCCGCCCTACTAGAGCTACAGGAGGGGTTTGAGCGCAAGTATGGAAAGCTAGAGAACCGACCCTACTGCTACTGCCCATTGATTCATAAATCCATCACCCCCCTGGATCCAGATTGCGACTCGGTCCAGTCCATGACCGACATACTCGTGTATGGCCGAACCTACGCCCGCGACATCATATTTGTGTTGGCCCACTGGGACTCCATCACCAGCGACACGTCGAGCTTTGCCAATATCTTCAAGGAATTTACAGACGTCAAGGTGACTATTCGCGTCTTCGGCTCGCTTTCAATTGACCACAATCGCGAATTCCATGAATTCGACGCCCACAGAGTCAGCGCTCACTACCGGGGGTTGATCAGACTAGAAGAGGACTTTGTTATTGACGATGCACTGCGCTTTGTGGTGAGACTCGAAGAAACCCGCACAGTCAGGATCGGAGTGGAGGAGTCAGTTGACCTGATGGTGCAACTGACAGGCAGTCCTGAGGCAGAGATGTACGACCGAGTGCTGTGGATACTTTGACGCAGGGAACCAAACTGAGAATTTGGGCTCTTGGATACTCATGGGGATGTGAAGGAATCTGGCGATGGACGTATTTTCTCCATGAGTTGAGACATGTGACTTTGATGCCCAAGTTTCTCTAAGGGTTGTAGCACCCATGTATCTTACCCTTCAGTTTTGAGAAAGCCTACAATGCCCGAACAAGCGTTGAGTGCTGCTTGTATTTGGGGCCAATAGCCATCAAATGAAGAAACATTTAATACATTCATCTAGCTACTTCCTGTTAAGGATTATTTCAAGCGTTGTATACCATAGAAAGTCTACATCGTCCAGTCACCCCATACAACATATGTCATCAGTTATCATGATTCCGATTTAGATGACAGCTTAGATCAAGGGAATGTATAAGAACACTGAGGTTATAGCCCATATGATCTAACACGATTCGTACGCACCAATCGGATACCCATACATGAAACGTTAGTACGCTATTATGCCAACCAGTGGACACGATCTATTGTATAGGATGTGTTTATAAGCGAGCCAGTTAAACATCTGCAGTATGAATTCGATACATCACAGTGGACCAAAGCCGTTGAACACAGGCAAGAACAGATACATCGTGCATATCGACTCAAGACTCATCATAAGCAAATACGTGTCAGATATATCAATATACAAAGGAAGTACGGAGTACTCTGTAAATGATTAGACATATCCAAATTACCCTTCGAATATACAGCGGTGATGAATCTTTAAAATGCTAGCGGCCTAATGCATTAGCACTCGGTTAAAGTGGGTAGCTGAATAAGCCACTAGTCACTTCTCCATCAGTTCGCATATTGGAGTGTATCCATAACATATTAAGTTATATCACGATTTTATTTTGATGCCTATGGCGTTAAACCTCACACATGATAGACCTGAAACACCGACTTGATTCAGCTGAGACGGTGATTAACAGACTCCTAGTGGTCCGTGCAGAAGGGATCTAGCTCGAATATTTCTGCTTGGTTTCGCGGGTAGACGAGAACCGTTTCAGGGGCGTTTCAGGGGTCCTGGCGTAGAACCTGCTTTGTGTGAGGGTCGTGTGAGGATTTATGAAGGGGTATTTCAAAGGATTTGAACAATCCACTTTCATAGCCAATCTGCATTATGTGTGCGCATGGCACTATCCTTTTTGGAGTGCTACGGAGCTGGAGTTGCAGTCTACTGCATCTAGTGAAGATTTATCAAAATTTCAAGGACTCCAGTGTGTTACGCAGCTAGAGAGCATCGGGTCTCGGGATCAGCCCGACCAATGAGACCTGCATGTAAACGCACTCAGCTGGATTCAATTGTTAAAGGATTAAATGGTTGCATTCCTGCACCTAGGTATGTACAAAGTAGGCTAATGCTACATCGTAGGTATCGTCGTGATTCGGTCACTTCCAAGCAAGTCTTTTCAGAAGCGACCAGTTCGCATTCTGAAACACTGGTTTGATGATGTACCCTGCCATTGCAGAATTGGGAGGAAAGGATCAACGCGATAAAACGAGTTAGACTGTGTTTACATTATCTCCGCTCAGGAAACTTTCAACGGCGATGGTCACTGAGCGATCTATGCGCTGTAATCACCTATAGAGTACTCCTGAGCCGAGAACTGATGCTGTAAGCATGAATAAAACAGGACATATTGCAAGATTGCGGAAAGAATACTCGGATATGCTAATTTTATGGTCTATGCCAAGGCGGCCACTGAGCTATCAGGAAGGGTTGCCACATGTGGGTATCTCCTTATGCCTAGACTTGACAGCTCCAGGGACGAGCAAGGAGTTGTTACCAGTCAACTCCGATCTCGATTCTTTGTAGTCTCGATTAGCCTGCATGGTAATTCTCCGACGCACGATTGACGTGCAGCCAGGGGTGTATATAGTTTACGACAGGTCCAATATCAAAAACTCCACCTCGAAAGGGGCGTTGCCAATCGTCATCTACTACTGTGTCAAGACAGGCTTCCGGAAGTCAAACAATACGGAGTACTCCATATCCATTGGTGATTCAGCCAGCCATGATTCTGAGACAATAGAGAAGTAGCTAAAGCGAGCACAGACACTCTACACCCAAATAAAAACAAGAGTATGTTGATCACAACGTAAATGATATTCGCATCCACCTCGGCAACGGCATGGTATGACCCATAAACGGGGAGCTAGAGTCCAATGATGTGCAAATCAATTTCTCCTAGCTTCGTCTCTCCTATTTCCAGGACAGATAGTTAAGCGCTAATGAGTGATACGAATACAATAGCCCCGCCGGTGTCGAATGCAGACGAGAGGAAGGAGATCAGTGCAGGCGAAGGCGAGTTAGACCAATTTGACTAAGTTTTTTTTTTTTTTTTTTTTTGGATGGCGGGTGACAGTGAACCGTTTACTCCGTATGACATACAATCAACGGCAGAGGTCTAGATGCTCCGTTCAAGACGAAGTCGAGTACCAATTTTTGTATATCTGTCGATCATAGACAGGGGTTCTCAGAATTGGGGCTCTGGGGTAAACCGTAGGAAGAGAAACGTCATTGCAGAATGATTTTCGGCTGAAAAATAATCTTTTTCTCCAGAACCAAAGAGGAACCCGTTGGATCGACAGACAAATTTGCCACTGTTCCGAGAGCGTGGTGCTAAGCCAATATAGAGTGGATATACGCTGGATTTTTGATGCGCCGCTTTGTGATCCCGTGACTTGCAGGTAATTAGTGTTGGCGGAAATTCTAGTTCATCCGAACCGAAGTAAATCCACGAACCCTTGTTATCACCACACCGTAGAACCGTAGAACGTCTTGATTTCCACGGTTTGTTATTTGCCGACTTTTTGGGGGTGTAGACAGGAACCGGAATTACTTCTGGAAGCATTTATCATTACGGAGCTATATACCAGAAGAGTTCAATAAGTCAAAAGGTTAATAAAAATAAATACTCCATCGACTCCATAAAATTAAATCCGATTTCAGGATCAGATCCCCTAAATGAAATTGTATAAGGCCGATCGGATATCCGACGTGACATGAAGGTAGCATTATACTGTATTAACGTATTTAATTTATATAATTAAGTATAACAATGTCTATAAAAAAGAGAGGAAAATCCAAGGGATCTCCACCTCCATGTCCATGGTCCAAAGTGGAACTATTGTATTTTTCTCTTCCCATGTGTTCGAAGTAAACGTGTACTGTACTATGCATCTCCATTTGTATTAGATTATTTTTTTTTCTCTTTCATCTAATTATCATATTGGAGTGTTGAATTTTTTTATTATTTAATTTTTGATTAGTTTCTTGGAGTCTCCTTTCTTGTTTCCTTTCCCCCCCCCCCCTCTTTGTTTCCCTTTGAGTCGATGTGGAAACGTTCACCTAGATCGGAGGACAACTCTGGGAACAACTCAACTCACCATCTATCTGAGCTGGGTTTCCTAGGTCGATCCAAAAAGTCCAAAAGTAAGTGTCTCTAATTCTTCTTGGAATGTCCTAGATCTGAGACCTATGATGGCCAGTTCTAGATGCCCGAGACTAAGACCCTCCCCTGAGTGTTGGGGGCTTTCTTTCTCTTCACATCTTCAACACTAGAGCTTCAAAATAGCTTCAGCCTGTTGGTCTTGAAGGATGCTAATCAGGGATCTGTAATGTACAGAATTTCAATCGGAATCATCCTCTCGTTCATCTCTCCGTTCATTTCGTTCATTTACCCGAGGCGTAATAGACCGACCCAGCAGCAGTGTTTCCAACCAGACCGATTTCACCCGGACAAGAGCACCCTCGACTGTCGCTGGATCGATTTATTCTGTTTACCCAGAACCCGTTGGTCAATCCGCGCATTCCAATCGCTCAGCATCATTTAATTCAAGACCGGGACGAACCACTGGCGCAATGGAGGTAGATCGCACCCACACGCGGAGGGAGAGGACATTTGTCGGGAGCGAATGCGCTGTTTGCGAGGAACCCTTGGAGCATACCCTACGTGGCGAGCGTGTCCTGCAGCTTTCGTGCTCCCATGTCTCCCACGAGGCCTGTTTCTATGAATTCCTGCGGGAATGCGATGGACAATACTGCCCAACCTGCAATGCGCCATTGGCCTTGGACACAAGTCGCGGTGGAAACGTCTTGGATATCGGTATGTCCCCCGTGCGGGGGTGGAGAGGAGCCAGAGGGCTAATGTTATTTTCCCAGAGAAAATCAGTAATATTGTTCGTTCAGTGACGTCGCATGATACCGCTACCGTACGCAGTGGCTTGTCAACCCCATCTACTCCATGGGAGCAGGCCTCGAGTCGACGACCACCGAGTGATGCCGGCAGCCGCTACACCTCGGGTACCCGAGAGCAACCACCTTACACCTCTTCCGCGAGGGAGCCGTCTTACAACCCCTCAGCAAAAGAATTATCCTACAACCCCTCGAGAGATCCATCCTATAATCGACGGGATAGCCGGGATACCAGCAGCCAGCGTGAGCGCGTAGAGCGATTGACGATGGGCTCTAATCCCCGTCAACCCCACTCCCGGAACGGCAGCGCGGCCGGCTCATCGGGCGAATACAATGAAGGCCAACACATTAGCAGTGGGCGGCGCCATGATTACGACGTTCAGGCTATGGAATCAGATCTTAGTCCTCGTCCCGGAGTGGCCAAGAATCCCATTCCCGCGCCGATAGTCACCGTTCGAAGCGAGTTTCCGACTATGAACCGATCCCGCCAACAGCAGACGCTCACATGTCTGATTACGGTCGAGGTGCCAGACGCCAATTGGCGTCCTGATCTGGATGATCTACGACACACGCCTTCGGGACAGTCGCAGCCGGATGGGCCATACGCGGGACGATTTGGTGGACAAGACGCTCGATCAATCCAGTATGAACCAACGGAGAATCTAGAAGAAGTAGCCGAGGAATTGCGCAACAGAGTCGACAATTGGCACGGTCTTGAGTTCCAACGGTTTGGCAAGCTGCGCCTCCACGGACACATGCGCGTGGGCAAGGATCGGGATTCCTGGCAGGAGTTGGAATGCTATCTCTTCGGCGAGATGCTGATCTGTGTCAAGGAAAAGAAATCGGCTGACCAGAACCAATTCGATGCGACCGGGCGACGCAAGCCTGTTCGTTCCAGTCTCAAGGGTTCAATTCTGATTAAGAAGCATTTAAAGTCCATCGAGGTGTCACCAGATGAGCCTATTCTCTCCTTGAACCTTTCGGTCACCGAGCTGCCCTGTTTCTATCTTCGCTTCCGGAATCGCAACCTGCTTGATACGTGGCGTCGGTCTCTGATCGATTTGCACCCAGAGGCCATTTCACGCCAGAATGACTATGACTACGACAACTCGGGGCCGGAGGAGGATGACTACCGTGGTAGTCGTGGAATTCAACGACAGGCTTCTGTCAATTCGTCTTACGGTGCAGGGAAATCTATCAACACCGCCATTACCGATTACACCAACCCCGACACAGAATTCCCTTCCATAAATACCGTTCATATTCCTCTCGATCTTGTCGTCGTCATTCCGGTATCCTCGTCTATGCAAGGCTTGAAGATTACTCTCCTGCGTGATGCCCTCAAATTCCTAGTGCACAACCTGGGCCCTCGGGACCGGATGGGCCTTGTGACGTTTGGCTCGAGTGGTGGAGGTGTGCCCTTGGTTGGTATGACCACCAAGTCTTGGTCTGGGTGGTCCAAGATCCTCGAATCGATCCGGCCAGTTGGCCAAAAGAGTCTCCGTGCAGACGTGGTGGAAGGTGCCAATGTTGCCATGGATCTTCTGATGCAGCGCAAATTCAACAACCCCGTCTCGACCATTCTTCTAATCAGCGACTCTTCCATCTCCGACCCCGAAAGTGTTGATTTCGTGGTCTCCCGCGCGGAAGCTGCCAAGGTCAGTATCCACTCGTTTGGACTTGGATTGACCCACAAGCCCGATACCATGATCGAGTTATCTACCCGCACCAAGGGATCCTACTCCTATGTGAAGGATTGGATGATGTTGCGAGAATGTGTTGCTGGATGCTTGGGCGCGTTGCAGACAACCTCCCACCAAAACGTCAAGTTGAAGCTCCGCTTACCCGAAGGGTCACCCGCTAAGTTTGTTAAGATTAGCGGCGCTCTTCACACCACAAAGCGCGCAACTGGCAAAGATGCCGAAGCCGCACTGGGAGATCTCCGATTCGGCGACAAGCGCGACGTCCTGGTCCAACTTGTCATCCAGCCCGACAATGCCACACAGGACAGCATGCCGCAAGATCCGTGGGAGAGCCTAGTCTCCGGGTTGGAGGCTCTCGGCGGTGGTTCTGATGGCGACGAGTCACGAGTCCTGAGTGTTGAAGAGGTCCCATTGATCCAGGCCGATCTGACTTACGGCGACCTGCTCCGAGATGGCCATCTTACCCACTCCCCCCGCCCTTCACTCCTGGCCATTACCATGCTGCCCCCTAACCCTCGGGCCACGGGCCAACAATCCTCGACCCCTCCAATTCCTCCTCACCCTTCGATCGTGCAACGCCGTATGGAGCTACTTACTTCCGACATGCTGACCCGTGCCCTCACCCTGGTTTCTCGGGGTCAGCATGATCGCGCGATGCATCTCCTCAACGAAACCCGCAGCATCCTCAAAGGCCTGGGCAAGGGTGGTCTACCACCTCTGCCCCCGGGCGCTTCCCGGTCCGACAGCGATGCCGACAGCCGCGGTGACACCCCGGTCTCACCCTCCTCTCCTAAATCGTCTACCTTTGGTGGAACACATTCATCCGCATCCGATACTAATACCATCACACCACCCTCTGCAGTCGATGCTCAGACGATGCTTGCCCTAAACGCAGACCTGGAAGCATCTCTGGAGTGGATCAACCACCCGGCAGTCTTCGGGCGTGATTCACGCAAGGCGGTGCTACAAAGCATTGGCGTGATCTCCTCACAGCGCGCCTACACCTTCCGCACTCCTTCCGAAGCGCATTGGGCCCAGCGTGTCTCCGGTGTGCGTCGGTTGACGGAGCGATCCCAAGACTGGCGTGAGACTGGCGATGATGCCTTGACCGAGGAGTAGGGAGTCAACTCCCTACAACTCAGCATGTCCTTTTCTCCCCTCTTATCTTTGATTTTTGAAACGTTTTCCATTGTCTCCTATTCCCGACTTTTACATACCGAGTCGACGTGTTATTTCCCCTTTTTCTTTTTCCCCTTTGCGATTTCTTTTGCCATCCCTATGATACCACTTTGTTCCCATGACTACGCAACATGATACCAGGGGCTCTGTTCTTGATGTGTTTCCGCTCTAGTTGGATTTATGCCGTATTTGGACATAACATCTCTGTTTCTATGTAATTGCTCTGACGGTCTCGGCTATGGTGCGCGGGTGGGATGGGGTTCTGTTGTTTTTTTACTTTGAACATATGACGATTTACCTGACTTGCTTTTATTTTTTCTACACATCCAGCCTTGCATAGTTTATCTGAGCCAATTAGTGTTGGATTAGTATACACTTTCGTTGTAACTGTTCTTTTGCTGTCAAATATCGGGATCGACCACTTCCAGAGGAACATGTTCAAGAGATGGCTTAATTCGAACAAGAAAGTAGGAGCTACTCACAGGCGGTAGAGTGGGGAATTTGGAGGCATGACGTTGCTCTTATATTGTAGGCTGTCACGACGGGGGAACGTGGCTGCTTATCGGCTTAGAATCTTGAACTTGCAACTTTCCCCCGGGTCTGGTTCAACTAGACCGCAAATTCTTAAACTCTCTTGTCAACCTTTGCATACCTTAGCATAAAGAGCTACGCAGCTTTCATCCATGCTCCGTCAATCTATGGCGCGCGCTTTCCGCGCATGCGCATCCTCATACCCTTTCTTATCGCCGAAACCATCCATCCACCTCAAGGCCGCCTCACTAGCAGCTCAAACGTCGCGCTCATACAATGCCTCAGGATCTCAATTCTTTACTCGTTGGGCTACCTCTCTGCGCTCTCAGATTGCGCCCCTACGACAACCCCAAGCCCAATCACAACTCTCGTTTCACACACCTTCCCCAAGAAACCGGCGGACGTTTTTCTCAAGCCACCAATCCCCCTACCAACAAAGGCAGAACCAATACAACCGATTCCAAGGCAGAGCCCGCCGACCTATCATTTACCGCTTAGTGCAGAATGCAAAACCGCACCACTTTGTTGCGATTGGCGTGGGGATATCCGGACTTTATCTATACAACACGGAGATAGTGGAGATGACCGGTCGACGACGGTTCAACTGTGTCTCTCGCCACCAGGAGCTAAAAATGGGCGAAGAAAGTTACCGCGAGGTCCTCATTGCCGAGCGTGGCAAGGTCCTACCCCATAACCATCCTCTTACTCGTATGGTGGATGGTGTGCTGCAACGGTTGGTCCCGCAGGCGCCTATCGAGGGCGCCGACTGGAAGGTTCATGTTATAAAGGATGATGGAATGCTTAATGCTTTTGTGCTTCCTGGGTAGGTTTTACTGGGTTTGCGGGTTTGGGGGTTTGGGTTCCATAGTTATGGACATTGCTGACATTGCTTTGCTTAGGGGAAAGGTATTTGTCTACACGGGTATCTTGCCCGTTTGCAAAGACGAGGATGGCTTGGCTGCTGTGCTGGGACATGAGATTGCCCATGTTGTGGCTCATCATCCTGCAGAGCGTATGAGCACCAGTTTCATTACGCTGGGAGCTGTATTCGCTATCTCTTTCTTGTTCGATGTCTCCGGGCAGTTTTCTTCTTTCCTATTGAATCTTATGTATAGCTTGCCGAACTCGAGAACGCAAGAGGTATGATTGGTCTTTTATTTTTTACCATAAGGTCACTTGGCTAATTTCTATCTACAGGCTGAAGCAGACAAGATCGGACTAAGTATGAACCCTTGAAGTTAAAGACCAACTTGCGATTATGTGCTAACTATTGTGGCCAGTGATGATGTCCAAAGCCTGTTTCAACCCCGAGGCTGCCGTCAAACTGTAAGTCTATCTGACATTGTGTGTGTCGGCGTCTTGGGCTTTGCTGATGATTGCTAGATGGGGTCGCATGTATGAACAGGAGAAAGAGGCTCCTCCGCAATTCATGTCCACCCACCCATCGGTAGGCTTGGAGGAAATTTATAGAGGGACCGAGACTAACCTATAGTAGAGTTATAACCGAATGGAAGCCATTCAAGGATGGTATGACCATTTACCCTGCATTGACTTATCTGTTCCTAATTCAATTAAATAGGCTCGACAAGGCCGAGGCAATATACGACGAGAATGGGTGCAGCTCTGTCAAAGGATACAGTAAGAACCTTCTTCTTTCTATATACTAAATTGCTAACTTCTCTAGTGCCTGGTTTTCAAACTGCTTATAATTCACATGTCTCATATTTGAGATGATCAACAGAGCATCCAAATCAATAGTGCATCGATGGTAACTGTATAATAACATTAGCCAATGTATTAATAAACACGAAACCATCTCCTATTACAGACTTCATGGAATATAAAATGAAGGACTAGAGATTGTAATGTCGCTGATCTATAGTGAACGCCAAGCAACTGGCGGGCTCCCCCCTCGTGCAAACCGAGCAAACCCACCACCGCAGCTCCAAAAATTGCCTGGCACAACAGCTCCATCCACTCCCTCACATTCAACCCATTTGATATCCAGTCGCATCTCCCTTAGACGCGACCTAATATCATGTCCCTATCAATTCCCGGTCCCTCCCAGGCGGGGCTCTTCAAGCCCGGGTACCAGAGGTGAGTTCGAAAAGTCGGGAAGCCCGAAAACCCACCGCAATAGGGACCTCCTTATCTGGCACCCCTCCAAAAAGAAGCGAAACAATTGACTGATCTGTCTTTTCTACTGTATAGCCACGATGCCGAAGATGGCGCCGTTATCCGTAACATCGAAGCCTGCCAGGCTATCTCGGGCACCGTCCAGACCTCCCTGGGCCCCTATGGCCGCAACAAGATCGTCATCAACCACCTGCAAAAGATGATTCTGACCTCCGACGCGGCCACAATTCTTCGTGAGTTGGATGTTGTTCACCCCGCTGCTAAGCTGCTTGTTATGGCGAGTCAGCAGCAGGATGCGGAGATGGGCGATGGCACCAACTTGGTTATTGTTCTGGCCGGTGAATTGTTGAAGAAGGCAGAGGAGTTGATCCGTATGGGTCTCAAGACGAGTGATATTGTTTCCGGATACGAGAAGGCTCAGAACTTTGCCTTGTCAGTTCTAGAGGGTATGTTCTCCCCCCCCCCCTTCCCATGATTGGTTTGTCGATATACAAACGAGGGAATGTTTCTGATTCCGTCTAGAGCTCGAGGTCGACAGACTCCAGGATATGCGATCGGCAACAGAATTGAGCAAGGCTCTCCGCACAGTGGTGGCCTCAAAGCAGTCCGGCACGGAGGATACTTTGGCTGCGTTGGTTGCGGAGGCGGTTCTGGCTGTGTTGCCCAAGAACCCCGTTAACTTCAACGTCGACAACGTGCGGGTCGTTAAGATTATGGGTGGTAGTTTGGAACAGTCGAAGGTGGTGAAGGGTATGGTCTTCCCCCGGGAGCCCGATGGAACTATCAAGAAGGCCAGCAGGGCCAAGGTCGGCGTTTTCAGCTGTCCCATCGATATCAGCCAGACCGAGACCAAGGGCACAGTTCTTCTCAAGAACGCTAAGGAGATGATGGACTTTACCGCAGGTGAGGAGGATCGTCTGGAGACTGCCATTAAGGAGCTCTACGACTCCGGTCTCCGTGTGGTCGTTGCCGGCTCCACTGTTGGCGACCTGGCCATGCACTACCTCAACCGTTTCAATATCCTCGTCATTAAGATTTTGTCTAAGTTCGAGCTCCGCCGCTTGTGCCGCGTTGTCGGTGCCACACCTCTGGCTCGCCTGGGTGCCCCCATGCCTGATGAGATGGGCCAGATCGACATTGTCGAGACGACCGAGATTGGCGGTGACCGAGTGACCGTGTTCCGCCAGGAGGATGCAAACGCCATCACCCGTACAGCAACCATTGTCCTGCGCGGTGCCACCCAGAACCACCTGGAGGATGTTGAGCGTGCCATCGACGATGGCGTCAACGTCGTCAAGGCCATCACCAAGGACCCCCGTCTCGTACCCGGTGCCGGTGCCACTGAGATCCAGCTCGTTGAGCGCATCTCCAACTTCGCTGACCGAACCCCCGGTCTGCCCCAGTACGCCATCCGCAAGTTCGCCGAGGCCTTCGAGGTCGTCCCCCGCACACTCGCCGAGTCTGCCGGTCTCGATGCCACCGAGGTCCTCTCGCGTCTGTACACCGCACACCACCGCACCACTGCTGCTGGCGAGTCATCTTCCGAGGAGGATGAGGAGGAGGGCAGCTCGTCTGAAGAGGAGGAACCATACTGGACTACAGGTGTGGATCTTGAAATTGGCGACTCCGACGGCACCCTGGACACTGTCGAGGAGGGTATTCTAGATCTTATGGCCACAAAGATGTCTGCTATCCGTCTCGCCAGTGAGTCTGCCCGGACGGTGCTGAGCGTCGACCAGATCATTGTTTCGAGACAGGCGGGAGGCCCCAAGCCACCGCAGGGTGGAGGTGATTGGGACCAGGACTAGATTTTTTAAAAAAAAGGAGCAATGAGGGTCTGGATGCTGTTTGATAATATGAGGCCTGATAGATCTTCGTACGATGATATGCTTTTTGAGAACCATTGTAAATTGGACTACCTTTCTCTTCCAGTACTTTTTTTTTTCTTTCAACGTTGCTCTCTTCTTCTACACATATTACAAACATCCTTCAAAATTTAAAGATTCACAAGGATATCTGAATTCAGTCTTATGTTGGGTGTTTCGGCCGTGTTTGCCTGATAACTAGTTAGATAGTGAATGATGCCTGAGGCATTAAAAATCACGTGCCACTCCCAGATTTTCCTCGAGTGTTTCCTTTCGGTCTTGATATCAACGAGCCGCGATTCCAATCCCCACCACTTTCCTCTAATTTCCCTTTCTCACGAGCTTCCCGCCTCTTTCTCACCTCCGCCATGTCTTTCTCCACCCAGGCCGCAGCCCGCTGCGCCAGACAACTCTCCGGCTCCGTCCGCCCGTCCTCCCTGCGCATCGCGACCTCCGCTACATACCTCACAGCCCGTCGCACACCCAGCAGCCGGCGATGCGAATCCACCCAGGCAGCCCCTGCTGCTGCTACCAACCCCAAGATCTCCCAGATTGTCGACCAGATCAGCACATTGACGCTGCTCGAGACTGCCGACCTGGTGTCTAGCTTGAAGGTGGGTTTGACAATCTACACATAATTGATGAATTTCCAAACAGAACAATGCGTCCTTGCATATATTTCTTTATATACATCGTCACTCTACTCAATTGAGGTATTTATACGAACCATTGCTAATCAAAATGTTTACACAGACCCGCCTGAACATCCCCGACCTTCCCGTTGGCGGCTTCGCCATGGCTGCCGGTGGTGCCCCCGGTGCGGCTGCTGCCGTTGAGGAGGAGGAGGCCGCTCCCGCCGCTGCCGAGAAGACGCTCTTCAACCTGAAGCTCGAGTCTTTCGAGCCTACCTCCAAGCCCAAGGTCATCAAGGAGATCAAGACCATGCTCGGCCTATCGCTGGTGGACAGCAAGAAGTTCGTCGAGTCCGCACCTAAGATTCTGAAGGAGTCTGTGCCCAAGGAGGAGGCGGAGAAGCTCATCGAGACCTTCAAGGCCCTCGGTGCCAAGGCGACTATGGAGTAAAAGCTGTCTATTATTTAAGCACAGGGAGAGGATAGATTGGGAAGAGAGTCGGGGAAGATGTTGTCTTGGGTCTTTTTCCTCTCTCTTTTTTTTCTCTTTGGGTTCTTGCTGAGAGATCTTGTTGAGCATTTATTTTGTTTGGCCTGGCAGATCAAGGCAAAATGTACATTATACGCATTGTGTTCTGGGACCGTCTGGTACAGAGGGCTCGTTTGGTTAATTGATGCATTTAGCATATCGATGCTATTCTATTGCTTCCTAAATCTGTAAATATCTTTTAAATACTACTGCTTAGTTAAGTTGATGGTATATCTACAAATGTTAAATGTCGGAGTAGCTTCGCGGTGAAGTTCCCGATCTCCAGAACTTCAACCAGAGAAAACCTACCCCCCTCACCCCCCCTCCGCCATTTCCCATTCGCACTATTTTCAATGGCCAAACCATTGATTTTGCCGTTACAATGGCGTCAATTACATCAAGCTCTCTCCCCCCAAGCCCGCACCTTGCGTCACGGCGCGCAAGCTTGCACCGCTCGAGCTGCCACCAATAGCAACACAACTACATTGAAACGGCCCTTTCATACCACCCAAACTCGATCAGCTATCAGGCCTTCTCGCAAAGCTCCATCCGTTCGGAGACAGCTGAGGAATGGGAACTCCGAGCATGTCTTCGAAGGCCCCGGTGGATTGAAATTGGATCGTGACGGGTTTTGGAATGCTTATTGTAGTGCCCATGTTGAACCAACAGTGGCTGAGTTTAAGCAATTCACACGCCAATTGTATGAGCGTTTGAGTCACGTCATGCCGCCAGGTGTCAATCTGGCGACGTTCGCGTCCGTGGGCGAACAGTTGATTAGGCTATCTCACTCGCAGCTCCCTTCCGCAAGCCTTGTTCGGAGTATCTCAGTAGGTAAGTTTTAAGTTTCAAATTAGTATATAGTGAAGGGCTACGAATTGGACTTCGTGATACTAATACATTTTGTTAAAGATGTCGACGCCGTTTATCGAATCTCGCTCGTTCTTGGAGAACTTCAAACGGGCCGCTACATTTATCAATGGACGTTGACCGGTTGCGCAAAAGCAAATTCGCGCCGAGCCGTGGTCGACCTCGTGCGCCGGTATATAGATACGAAAAATGTGGATATTTACCGGGACAACGAGTATATAGCGCGCGTCAGAGATTTGGCTCTCAAAGACGAATTCCCTCATGCGATTATGCTATATGCCAAACTGCTCATCTGGCGCGGTGAAAAAACACAAGCCGCCCGGCTTCTGGAGCAGAAGATTCTACCATATCTGCAACCCACTAGCAGACGCCCTCCCCACTGGGAGGATATAATGTTAGTGGATAGCTTTGATTCGCCCTGGCGGATGTACGCTGTTGCCGTTGAGCAGGAACAGGGGCTTGAGGGTATCCAGAGTGTCACGCGCCGAGCCGCCCTGGAGTTCCACGACCCTGTCGCCATGACTGACTACGCTGTCACCGTGTTGGAAACGGATGCTCCCGACAAATACGAGACGTACGAGACGTACGTGGCCGCCGCTGCATTATCGGGACACACTCCAGCCTGCTTTTACCTTGCCAATCTCTATTACCGTATCTCTCAAGGCGAATTTACCACCGAAGCAGAGAGAAGCGCCAAGGCGAGGGAAGAGGCCAATGCCACACGCAGCGCCTGGCTGAGACCCTTCGAGCCTATAGCAAACTGGGTTTATACAAAGTTCAACCAACCTATGGATCGCAAGACATACCGCATGCTCGCGATGGACTGGTACGAGCTTGCTTTTGATAAGGGAAACAGTGAGGCTGGGTATATTCTGGCCATGCTCTTCCGCGAGGATGGCAATATGAAGAAGAGCCGTGAGATATACAAGCTTACTGCTAAGTTAGGTCTTCCAGCCTCGTTGTCGAGGAAAAGCTTGGTGGAGATGAGGGATAAATGGGAAGATCGGACATTCAACCCTGGTCTGCCTCCTAAGCTCTTGAGGATTACTTAAAAATGGGTTAAAGCTGTTGTATTTATATCTCTCCTGTACATGCTTTTTTTTTGCCTGTATACCAACTATGTGTCCTAGCAATGTATCATTTGGGGGCCTTGATACTTTTTCTTCTATATGTTCCCTGCTCCCAAGCATTCATGTCTCATCTCGCCTCATATTCTATGCCGAACTGACACAAAAAAAAAAGAGAAAGCAAAATATTAAAACTGTCGGTATGATTGAAGAAAAAGAATCAAACACCATCCCTGTTTCATTACCGAATCCAATTTTCCTTTCCTCATGCCAAACCTGAGAGACAAAGCCATTCACAGACTCCAAACCAACAACCAAGAGATTCGAAGGCTGATAATATCAACACAACAGAAGAGAAAAGAATCCTCTAAAAAACCACAAGAATCCCAATCATCGCCTCTTCTTCCCCTTCCCCTTCCCATGCCCCCTCGTCTTCAACTCCACAAACCCAAGCTCCTTCAACCCCTCCGCAAGAATCGACGAATCCTTCATGCCAGGAAAATCCTTGGCAGGATACACACGGAATGGATCGGACCACGCCTCCGCAAGAATCGGCATCGACTGCCCCGTATCCTCAACAGAGCCCCAATTCATCAATCGGAACTGGAGCCTATATAGGCCCGCCGAGCGGATCGAAAGATCCACAAATATGAAAAAGGTAGCTGGTTGGTGAAGGCACGAGGCGGCGTGGGTGTAGACGTTGTGCAGGGGGTTGGAGAGATTGGGATCGGTTATGGAGGATGGGTGTGCAGGTGCGGAGTTGGGGTCCGGGTCGGCGTCGACGTAGAAGGGGGACATGAAGGCTTTGCCGGATAGTAATGGGGTTGAAAAGTTATCGTCTGTACGGGCGATGCCGTCTGTTTCTCTTTCTCTATCGCGATTCCAGTCCCGGTCTTGATCTTGGTCCAGCTCGCACTCGCGCTCGCGCGCATGTGTGTCTGTTGGCTCAGCCCATAGTAAAGAGGGCGAGACGGGGAATAATAGACAGCCCACTGTAAAGCGGGGGTCTTGGAGGATATCTCGGTCTTCTTGTGAGTTGGAGTCGAAATCGGTCAGGAGGATCTGCACGATTGGGGGTGGGTCGACGGGGCGGCGGTCTCTGTCGCCGGCACCGCAGGCTCGTGCGGCGATGGGCTGTTGTCGGATATGTAGATGGTATCGGGATTGGGTAGATGGTCGTCTGGGTGGTGGAGGGGGTGATTCTGGCTCTGGATCGTGGTGGAGGAGCTTGTCGAAGCCGTGTGGCATTCTGTAGTTCGCGTTTCGGGATGGTTTCGGGTCTCGGTGAGTGCTGGTTAGGATAGGGTTGAAGGCGTGGGTGGCAGCACTTTTGTCCGACCAGACTGGGCTGGGCATGGCTGTGGAATTGCTGCTGTGTCTATATAGATTTCGTGGTCAGAATGTGATCTTGTTCAAATGTCTCCCTGCGTCGTGTAACCTAGGGCAGATGTGACATGAGAGGGATTGTGTTCGAAATCTCCAGCCAAAGACATCGCATCAGAACGGGCGACTGACAGATAGAGGTTCAATCGACAGAAACGAAAAAAGAGGGACTTTACTGGGACTCCACGTCGTATGTCCAGCTCCGATGACTATCATAGTCACGGGCATGGCTCGAAGTTGGGTATGTTCTCTCTTCGTATGGGGTACGGGAATCAGCGCTTCCCGGTTGATAGGATCGCAGCGGCAGCGCTTGTGGCACAGGTTGTGTATTCATGTAGGCATTGTCGGACGAGAGCCTATATCGGGGATCTGTACTTCTCTCGGGAGTGACCAAGGCGGGAATCCTCGAAGCAAGGGGTGCTCCGAGCATGGGGTGCTCATAACCTGTCTGAGGTAGGACCTGTCGAGGCTCATGTCGGTATGGATATGGCATAGGTATCGGGCCCCGGTGTTGGGTGCGGGGGACCGAATCAATATATGGCCATTCCGGTGTGGAATTCCCACATTGTTGTGGCGGTGGCCTCGACATATATTCGGAGACTGGCACAAGCGCAGTTATATTTTAGATGCCGTATTCCGGTCGGTTTCAGATAAGACATTGAATACCAATGCAGCGGTCAGATAGTCACGATCAGGAAGGTCCAAGGATTATATAGGGAATGGGAAAGAGAAGAACACAGCAAGAATGCATATCTCAATGAAGGCATCTGATAATCATGTGAAGTCAACAGCAACACCTCATCACACCACTTCGGTATGATCCTGTGAAATAGCTATACTTCCCCTCGGAGGGATTTCGCCAATTTTGCTCAGGAACCGGGGAAAAAGGAAAAAAAAAAAAAAAAAAAAAAAAACCCTCACAGCAAAATGCAAAACACCCCTGTCCGGTTTCCCCCTCCATCCAATCATCTGAGAGCTGGGAATATGACAGGGAACGAGTGGGAACGGCATCAACAATATCCTTTTCAGTAGAAATCCGTACGATTGGCGTATCCACCGATGAACGAGAAAGGGAAGAGCCGGGGAACGGGCCGAGCGGGTTTTGCCACGAGAAGGGAGAAGACCAGTGGATGCTGGACATTGGGGGCTGTGCCTTGTTTGAAAGGGGGGACTTTGTTCCTGACATCTCTGATCCCTCGAAAGACGGTCAAATAATCGAATATGAGTGGAAGCCCATTGTGGAACTGCACTGGGAAGCTTTTGCTAGGTTTTGAAGTATTTCCGTATGGGTCTGTTTTTGACCTATCAGGACACTGCGCATGGGGCCAAATAAAATAAGCGTGCCTTTTTGCGAACCAGGCAGGATATATCTTGAGAAAAGTCAGATATCCGCTAGACAAAGGATTTGATATCGAATATTTTTCAATAGGGATTCAATGCTTAGCATATGAACTTTGAACAATCTAGGGGTCAAATCGAAGCTATTTTAGCAAAGGGCGCAAACGGGTCCGGAGATCTATCGCTTTCTGGAAGAATGCTCCGTACATATGTTTTGCCGATCCTGCTATTTTGAAGGGTGAGACCTAATATGGGAGGAATTTAGCCTGTCCAATAACGAGAGTAGAATTATTCCTGAAAATGTAGATGGAGTGGAGTCCACCGTTTGAGCTCTAAACCTCGGAAGAGATTCGGATTTCGCAAGCCCGCTAGTTCTGCGACTTTAGAGACGCAGATCACAATGACCTCAGTGGTGAGAATCGAATTATGATATAGGATGAGAACCCACAGTCAAAAGTTTTTCGGTATGCACTACTCCGTATCAGAAGTGTGGTTGCGTTGTTCATTGTAGATCCCCTAGTTCCCAATAGCAAGATGATTGCCCCGAGAGCCTTGTGGAGCTGCGGGTTGCTGTGTGCTGCAGTATAATCCAGATCTCCATGTGCTCATCGTCGTATCAGTTAGGCATGCTTAGCCATGCATATGACCACAAAGGCTTCGATATCAAATGGGTGGCGTTCCTTATCCTTACCGACGATCCTGATGGCAAATGGCGTGGGTGGCTTGACTCCCCATTTTGTGGAAAACGAAAATATATCTCAGTGCGGGTCACTTGATGACATCGCCAACACCGAGAGCGGAGCTGGAATCAGGATCCAAGTCAGCTGCCTTGGGGGTTTGATCAAACTTGCTGATTGGTAGGCGTAGATTGATGGGGACATCCCCGTTGGATTCGAGATAAAATAGAATATCGTAAAGCTCTCACATACGGACTGAGAATAAAGTAGTATTGGAGATGGAAAAGTAGCCGAAAAGGAAACGACCGACTACATTGTACATCTAGAGTCTGCCGAAGCACATCACCGCTCAGTCTATATCAGCATCCTTCCTCTCTCCAAGTGACATTTTCATGAATTCATGATTTCATGGGTATTTCACACCATTCAATACTCTAGATCTGCACTTGGATCTACATCCAGATAGTAAGGTCCCCAGCAGTTTCGAGAATGAGGGCGTATGCCACTAGGATAAATTGTTCGCTCGTCATTGGTTGAAATCGTGAGATGCATCAAGGCACCAAGAGGGCCATCCGAAGGCGCTGGCCCACAGTCAATGACCCCGGTGTTCTGCCCAACGTAAAGCCCGAGGAGTTGCCCAAAATGACGGTCCCATACCACAATATATCCTGATGACTCCCATGGTTGATCCGGACCATACCGCACATCCATGCAGCCAAGTTGCATCAGATGTAAGTTGTTGATCCCCATTTGAGGAACTCCATGAATGATCAAACGAGCCCGAATAAGGCCTAGGGTAGACGGGCTCATAGGCTCTGAGGAATCACGCAGCGCCGGAATTTGAGAGTTAGAAAATTCTATCGGTGAGTGTGCTGGTACCCATCGGAACTCGAGCAATTCGAACTTCGAGCGAACTTCGTCAAGACGTGCCGATTTATAATCGAGCCGAGTGACAATCGTTTGAGACTGTCCGTCGTGGTCATTCAACAGATCCGTGATCCTGCTCAGTGCAGCCGGAGACTTAGAGCAGCCATGAACGCGAAGCTCTGCGTACAACTGTCCTCTATGATCAGAGCCAGTGGTTTTGGTACCCATTTTGGGCAAATTTTGGTCCTCAAATGCTTCCCAGATATATTCGGACGGGTCTAAGGCGGAACTGAAATGGCTTTGACCCTCGGGGCTCCATTGAACACCCATCCTCTGATCCATGTCATCAAGACAAACTTCGAGTAGCTCAAGGTAGTCCTCTCCCCTTACTAGGTCAGGTAGTGCCTCACCCACAATCGGGTCACTAATGAGGAGTCCAAGATTTGGGAACTTCGCAATGAATGGCAGGTTATCTCCACATTGTTGAGAGATATCCTCCAACCATCTCACTGCTGTTTGGGACCGAATATTTTGGACTAGAGCCAGTACTACCTGATAGGCAGCGATGCAGCTTTGAGAGTTTTTAGGTTGAATGCCCTTCAAGAAATGAGACCAGTACCTGTGAAGCATCTCATCATTCCCAAGCCTAGCAAGTAGACACATATACTCCTGGGCGTTGGTTCCGAAATCGAATCGTTTGCCATTCTGATCAGCGGATTGCGCCCAGAACAAGATATCATGCAAATTGTGATTTTGGGACACGAGTTCTCCTTCTCCTGTGTCCCCAGAAAGGATGGGACTGGGGTCGTAGTATGGATCCTCAAAAGCTTTACAGTCAAGTGCTTTAGAGCAATTTTGGACTATTCGCAAACTATCCTCGAGACCTAGGGGTGGAAAGCCCATGTGGTGGTGGCCACCCAAGAAGTGCTTCAGATATGAAGCCGAAAGATCAAGAGATGCAAAAGATAACGCTATAGAGTACATCTCAGGCTGGATAGGAAGCTGGAGACGCCTTAGTCTTGCACACAAGTCACTTAGCACTGACAGTATTTCTGCCAATGTATTTTTCCGTTGACAGCTTTGCAAAGCGTGTTTTAGTGGCAAACAATTACAGTCTTGCAAAAGCTCTGCTCCGTATCTGTCGTTGACATATCTCTCAATTAAACTCCGCAAGGATGAGATATCGGTGATCTCGCTATTGATGGCCTCCAATAGCTCTTGGTTCCGCGAGGTAAGCCCTTTGAGGGAGGTCCACAGCGGGGGAGGTGGGGTGTTAAAGTTCCACTGGGGGACAAAGAGTTCACGGAGATACCCAGATAAGATGTCATTAGCATTTGAGTCATGAATTGGCTCAGTTGAATCCCTCAGGGCGAATCGAAGCAGTTCAGATGGTGATGGGTCATGGGGTAGTATTTTCGTTTTTGCGGGATAGAGGCTGCGCACCGACTGCTGTGTAAACACAGCTCCAGTTGTAAACCGTCGTCTTAGTTGCAGCCGAAGCAACCGAGTGTGTGGTCGTCCCATGTCTTGGAACTAGAGCAAGCTGATGAGAAGATGTGGAGAAGATAAACACGGGCCGATAAGGGGGCTAAGTCTGGGGTTTGATCAGCAGAATAATGGCGGTGAGAAAAGCGGTATTGGACCACATTCGCGCTTTTATTTCATCTTCAACCAGCTTCCTTTTCTCATCAACCTGGCTGCCAACAAAACAGCTACCGCTTTCTATTCATAGCTGCAGTTGATCTATTGATTAACCCAAGGAAATTATGGTTCGGACCAGAAATGCGGATAAATCCGCAAAGGACGAGGCGAGCCAAGAACAGTCCATTGAGCAACCGACCGAGACCAAGAGCGAATCGCCTGTCGCAACTTCCGAAAACAAGGCCGAAACACAGCAAGATGATAGGAAGGATGACGGTGCATCCAAAGCGCGTGAGAGAATGAATAGGTTTAAAGCCCTGCAGGCTCGAGCTGTAAGTGGTCCTCGAACATGACTTACGCGGATCAATAGGTTCGGCCAGTTCAACCCCATCACATAGCTAACACATCATATAGAAATCTGCAACGGAGCGGAATTTAAAAGAGACTGCAGCCGAATCCCAGCGTCTGACCACCGACCCCGCCCTGCTAAATACATTGTCCCGCAAGCATGCATTCGCCTCCCACAACCTCCTCAAAGCGGACACGGAAGCCGACGGAGAAGACTTTGAACGTAAGCGCGCATGGGACTGGACAGTCGAAGAATCGGAGAAGTGGGATAGGCGCATGGAGAAGAAGCAACGTCACCGAGATGACGTGGCTTTCCAGGACTACACCCAAGATGCTCGGAAGATTTACAAGAGACAGCTGAGAGAAATGGCCCCGAACTTGGAATCTTACGAAAAAGACAAGCTTGCTGCGATCGAGAGAGCCGCGGCCAACGGCGACCTCGAGATTGTGGAGACCGAGGACGGCGAAATGATTGCAATCGATAAGAACGGTAGCTTTTATTCCACTGCAGACTCGACTAGCTTTACGGACAGCAAACCTGATCGAGCCGCTGTTGACAGACTGGTCAACGATATCCAGAAGGCAGAGGAGGTGCGCCTGAAGAAACGCAAGGAGCGCCGTGGTGGCGATGATGATGCGGATGTGACATACATCAACGAGAAGAACAGGCAGTTCAACCAGAAACTCGCTCGCTTCTACAACAAGGTCAGTGTCCCATTGATCGGTATTCGTGTGGTCGTTTCGCTAATAGTTTTCTAGTACACCACCGAAATTCGGGACAGCTTCGAACGTGGCACCATGATCTAATTTAAATGTGAAATTGATTGCAATATTTTACATGGGTGGAAGTTCCGAGCTGTACTTGGGACAAAGCATCAATCAACCAGCAGAGATTCCACGCGTTTTCCCCTCTGCGAAAAAAAACATTGTTATACAAACATACAAGTCACTTGATCAGCCAGCAAACCTAAAGCATCGTCTTTCGCCAGGCTTTTGTTGCAAGTGCCTCAATCTGTTTTGTTCCGACTGCACCCTTGGTGGACTCATCCTCCAATGCTTCGACCACTGCTTCGCTCACAACATCGACTTTGAGGGGCTTTTCGGCCATAGACCCGAGGAAGCCAAGTTTATTCCCGAGGAATGTGTTGAACTCCGAGGCAACAAAGCCACCCATTGCAATTGGCAGCGTGAACTTCCGACTCGAGTCGTACATGAAGCCCGGGCGTATGAAGATGCTTCGTAGGTTCGGGAGGGTGGATGTGATAGTAGCCTCTGCTTCCCTTTTAGTACTGATGTACCTAGCCGGCAGAAGCGGTGCCCCGGCCGCCGCAGAGATATAAACGAAGGCCGGAACATGCTCATTGGTGGACTCTTGGGCTAGTGCAATTGCTAAATCACACATGTGTCAGCTTTCGAAACGGACTTTAGAACTCTTGTACGTACCCGAATCTCGATTCATCAGTTCATAGGTCAACTGCCCATCTTTCTCCTTTGGCTCCAAAGCCTCGCCCGCTTGTCTAGTTAGAGGGTTCTGGCTCCCAAGCTTAGATGTACTGAAGGCTCGTTGAAGGCCGCTGAAGATTGGCTCTCTCCCTTGCACAACGCCCTTGTAATCGGCTTCCAAGAGAATGCCCATTGTGTGGACAACAGCAGAAGCACCATTCAAATGTGACTTGTAGCTCTCTGGCTTGAGGATATCGGCCTTGGCCCATTCCACGGAGCCTGCCCAGCTGGGTCGTTCCCGAGAATCGGTGACTGTCTCCCACCGGGGTTCACCAGATCGGCTAGACTGAGATCAGTATTGCGCTCTTTTGTAGATCCATTCATACATAGGCGTGAAAGCTACCTCAATGATGTAACCGTCCATCCCCTTGCTGTTGCGGCTTTACAGATTCTGGATCCTAGAAGAGCTAGTCAGAAAAAAATAACATTGATAGTTTGTACTGGATGAGTATAACAAACCTAAAAATCCGCTGCCTCCAGCGACGACTAGTCTTTTGGCCTGCATGCTGTAGTTGTAGCTTTGGAATAGCTCCGGGGAATGATATCACTAAAGTATCGGAACACTAGTCCAGGCTATTTAGCAATTGAGACTTTAGAGCCGAGCCTAGGAATTCAATATCAAGCTCCCCAATAATCAGAACAGTTAAATAGTTCAAAGTAATTGTCTCTTACACGACTTTGAAATTAGCGTCATTCGGTATCGTTTGCCATCTTGTCGGGCCACCGACGGATTATCATTATTCCGCGACTTTCTTGCGCCCTTGTTCTGGACAATCCGTTCCCATCTGGTTCGACAATCTACAGTCAACCTACAAGATGCCATCTGCAACGGGAAACAAGCGCGTCAGGGTAAGCTTCAAACCCTAGGAAATCCAGAAATCACACTAACGTACTCGCAGGGCGTCTCGGTGTTCCGACCATTTGGTATGTCCGCAAAGGGTGCATTATCACCAATAGTCACAAACTAATAAACACAGTGTTTGGCAGTATAGCGCACCCCTTCGATCCCGACAACAAACCTCCAAACTGTCCTCCAGACCACACTCATAGGTGGGAGATATTCGTCAAGGGCATCAACGGCGAGGACATCTCCTACTGGCTAAAGAAAGTCCAATTCAAGCTCCATGAGACATACGCCCACAATGTGCGCTCTATCGAGCAGCCGCCTTTCGAAGTTTCCGAAACTGGCTGGGGTGAATTTGAAATTCAGATCAAGCTCTACTTTGTTCCCGAATCAAATGAGAAGCCCCAGACCCTGTGGCATAGTCTGAAGTTACATCCTTACGGCCCAGATGCGGAAGGGATGAAAGAACGCCGGGAAACTGTGATCAGCCAGAACTATGAAGAGATCATCTTTAATGAGCCCGTTGAGCCGTTCTACGAGATCCTCACCGGAGGCTTTGCTGGTGGCCAGCCTGGCAAGAGCAAGGGAAAGAACACCAAGCAGATTGGACAGGGCAGGACGGCGGATATTCCCATGAATGACGCCCCCGGGAATCCATACAGTCGGATGACCGAGAGAAAAGAGCTTGATCGCATGGCCGAGGCCACTCAGACAGTTGAGCAGATGATCAAGGAAGAGAAGGAGCGCCTGATCGAGAGGGAGAAGTATCTGGCCGAGTTGCGAGAGAGTGAGGGTGTGCCCAACAACACGAAGAAGCGGTGATTGCGTCGCGCGATTCTCTTAAGCTAAGAACCTAAGCCATCGCCGCCGTCTGGTTGACTTTTGAGCACCCCGTCGTAATGTACCCGGCCAACAACCCTCATCACCTCTGTCCAAAGGTTCCTCAGTTCTGGGATCTGAGTGGCTCTACTGCCCTGAACAGTCGAAGTTCAAGTTTTATACGCCTCCCGTAATAGCCTGGCCAAAAGATCCAACCTGTCTGTTTCCACCCAATCCATCACGACTATTGCGTTATATGCCAGCTACGACCAACAGGATCGAACATCTGTGTCAGGGCAAGGTTGTGCTTAGGACTCACGGGGACTTTTTCTTGTTACCGCGAGGTGGAAAATTGCAGACCATGCTACAGGGGGCCCTGGGGTTTCACCAGGGATCCCATTCAAACCATGTTCATACCAAGTTTGCAACAAGGTTAACTCGGGGGCCTGCCACCTACCCAGGAAAGAAGAAATCCCACAAGGATGCAGTCCTATCTCTGTTGATGTACCTCCAGATCTCGGGACGTATCCTATGCTAGTTCGTGATATGATTCTTTGTTCAGGAAGGTCATTTTGAACCATAGTACTGGTGGCAACCAATAAATATCAATTTACAATACAAAAAGACAAGTCTATATCACACAAGTTTCGTTCAGTCATCGCACGTCCATCTGAGCACCTAGCACTTCGCATCTTGAACCGTATCTCTGGTCTTTTTCAGGAAGGGTATCAAATCCGTGCCACCCGTACCGGCAAGCTTAGTGTTCGCACCCGTTTCCTTCATTTGAGAGCTAGCCGTGGCTAGATTCATCCTGCCTTTTGCCTGTTCAATTGGATTAGGCTGTCTCGACGCCATGACAATGTATCGAGTGACCATCTGGATGTGTGTATCGCGGAAAGCCTTGAGCTCGTTCACAGCTGCGTTGTATGCATCCTTGACCGATTGGGCCGGCGAGTCCAGTATGAACGAACGAACATTAGATCGAGCAGACAGATCTTCAAGGAAGCGCCTATGTGGGCCCGGCATGTATTCTCGCATTTGCTGCCTTTGGTGTTAATACTTATTCACACATGTGTGGAGACGGGGATTCTAAAGACCAATATCCCGTGATGTTCTTACCTGAATAAAACTCGGGCCACCAGCCTGCTTCCCATCCGTCGCAGAGTGTTTAATGCCAAGGAAGATATCAAGTGCCTGGATGAGCGAGCTTTGTGCATTACTTCCACCACTCAACTGGAGCCAATTCTCTGGTCTTTCCGCCCCTTTGCCATCACCAACATCGTAGTACACACCATTGGGAAGACCAGCATGGCCCATATTCTTGCTACCAGCCAGGAACGGCCGAAGTTGGTGAAAGAAGACAGCCGGATTGTTGTGCTCGTACATCCTTTTCAGAGTCAATGTGAGGTCGCATAAACCGTCGGCAAACCTGCACAACAGCGCAGTGAGCAGGTCTACATCGTTGGCAGCAACTGCCTTGAAAGCGTCCCGCATCAGCGAGATGAGCTTGATGCCTTTGGCTTCAACGGCCACAGAGATCACCATGAACCATTCCTCGTCTTTTGTGCCAGTGAAGGAGGTCCGAACGTGGATGTTGTCCGGGTCTGTGATGTTTGCTTCTGGGTTGGAAGGTACGAAGTTCCATAGTGTGAGGCCGGCGTAGGTGGCGCAGGCGGGGAGTTCGAGGTGTGCTGATATTTCAAGGAAGGGCTTTGAGACCGAAGGGGGAAGTCTCTGTTGTCTGGATGTCAGGGAATCTTTGAACGGAAAGGAAAGGGTAGTGGACGCTTACATCTTTTGGGATCTCTCCTCCCCAAATATAAGCATGAGCAAAATATCCCATAATAACACAAGCACGTCGCCATTCTGGTTCTGTTTGAAGATGTTCAGTTGTGTAGACGGGCATATGATCGATTTTGTCACGGATCTGGCTCGTTTGGATGAGGTTCGGGAGTTGACTGGCTATCTCCTCCCAAGTCTCGTAATAGGGATTTGAGAGTCTGGCCAGTGGAAGAGAATTTGGGAGAAAGCCTTGCTCGGCATAGCTTTCGAAAAGATCATTGAGAACAGCATCTGTTGATTGCAACATGGTGGATAATGATGTAGGAGTGTTCGAAAAGGAGAACCGCCTGGCGTATATAAACAATGACAAAAGGGAAAGACTGCCTTTTAGGCTTATAGAGAGTAAGTTTAGTGCTTTATGCTCATTATTTCAATATCTCCCTGCATCGGTTTGTATCGGGGCCATTTAGTCAAAGAATCTATACAACCCGGAAGCCGTCCGGATCTATATCCGTCTTCCGCTTTATAGTAACTTTATATGCGAGGTTGATCCAAATGTATGGTTATTTCTACTCCGTTGGTTCGACACTTATAAAAATCGCTTGGATGATAAGCAAAATATGTAGTTTTCCCAGAATATTCAGATAGGAAAGTGCTTTCTAGGGTTGAGATTGTGATTGAGACTTGGAGACTTGAAACAATCTTGGTTCTGTTACTACTCAAAGCTGATTGCTTTGCTGATACATAGTAGGCCATCTGTAGATTATGGATGATGCATGTAACGTCATGGCAAATAACAATAGCCTATGAGAGATATAATTCATGTCGAATTAAAAAAGCTATGATGTAACGTTAAGGCTGTTCACTAATATGGAGACGGATCGGGGAGGCGGAAGCGGAATATCATCCGTGTTACCCATTGTAGCCTTTGAAGGTCCCTTGGTCTCCGATTCGGCTCTTATAAGAAGATAATAACCTATTTCCGAGCTCTTTGTTTTCTTCTCTCACTTGTACACAGTTGCCGCTTGATTTACATTATATTCGACGTATTTTACTTTATCAATATGACGGGCACCAAAGTATCTAAGCCAGTCTTTCCCGCAGAGGCAACAACACAAGATTATGCTGCATCTCTGGATGTAGCAGATCCTCTGTGTAAATTCCGCGATCAATTTATCATTCCCTCCAAGGCGAATCTCGCGACGAAGAAGCTGGCGAAGCCAGGTGGGAACCACATCCTCGCGGAAACGAGTATTTCTAACAAACTCATACAGGTCTCTCGTCAGAGCCATGCACGTACTTTTGCGGTAACTCATTGGGTATCCAGCCCAAGGCCGTGTCGAAGTATATGGAAGCTCAGTTGGATACTTGGTCGTCCATCGGTGTTTGTGGACACTTTACTGATCTTGAAGACTCACCATTGAAACAATGGCAGCTACTGTCTGAACAGGCAGCTGCTTCAATGTCCCGCATTGTTGGGGCTGCTCCTGAAGAGGTCGCAGCCATGGGAACTTTGACTACAAACCTCCACCTGTTGCTTGCAAGCTTCTATAAGCCGACGGAGACCAAGCGTAAGATTCTCATGGATTGGAAAGCATTCCCCAGTGATCATGTGAGTGACAACCCACAATAAAAAGGATCCCCTAGGATCAACGTTGTGATACTCGGCTGTTTCGATTGCCCACAACTAACACACTTGTAGTATGCAATTGAATCACACATTGCCTGGCATGACCTAGATGCAAAGGAGAACATGGTTCTCATTGGCCCAGATGAGGGACAATACGAAATTTCGACAGAGAAGATCCTGTCCTATATTGATGAGCATGCCGAAAGCGCCGCGCTGCTTCTTCTCCCCGGTATCCAATACTACACCGGACAGTTATTCGACATTCCCACAATTACCAAGTACGCTCAATCAAAGAACCTTGTCGTTGGATGGGATCTAGCACACGCATATGGAAACGTGGAGCTTAAGATGCACGACTGGAACGTCGACTTTGCAGCGTGGTGCACCTACAAGTACGGCAACGCCGGCCCCGGTGCAATGGGTGGTCTTTACGTGCACGAGAGACATGGCCAGGTTGATTATAGTGCTGGACCAGATGCTCCCAAATTCCGTCACCGCTTGACAGGATGGTATGGTGGTGACCGGTCAGTAAGGTTTAAGATGGACAACAGTTAGTTTATTCCTATTCGTGTCGCGCGATACCTATTCTAGCATATGCTAACCGCCAGCAGAGTTCAAGCCTATCCCCGGAGCTGGAGGATTCCAGGTCTCGAACCCCTCAGTCATTGATCTGACCTGTCTTTGTGCGGCTTTATCCGTCTTTGATCAGACCTCCATGGCCGATTTACGCCAAAAGTCATTGAAACTAACGGCATATCTGGAGTTTCTGCTTCTGAAGGATACCGATGAGCAGACTCGTCTGTTCGATATTATCACTCCTTCAGATTCCCATGCTCGAGGTGCCCAACTGAGTGTTTTGCTCAAGCCTGGCTTGCTACACAAGGTATCCGACCGCCTACAGGATGCGGGTATAATTTGTGACAAGCGGGAGCCGGGCGTTGTTCGTGTGGCACCAGTGCCGCTGTACAACACTTTCTCTGAGGTGTTCAACTTTGTCAAGGAGTTTAAGGGCGCTTTGGCTGATTCATAGTTGATAATTGATATGATGAAGACAAATGTGAATAGAATGTCGAGTATTATAATGCAATGCACAATGAACAATATGCTGGGGGCGGGCCATTGAATCTCAGGATTGAAGACAAGATAAATACACACAAGAATTGAAGCCTGCTGTTGCAAGCCCTTAGAAATTCCCAACGCTTTCCCAGTTATCACCACTGCGCAGGAACTCTTGCCCCTGAGAAAAGAAATTGGCAGCAAGAATAGAGAACTCGTCATTAGATAGTGTCAAATGCTGTGGCGAGAGCAAGGGGTTTGCTGGGTAGTCCTGGCTAGGAAAGGCGGTATTGGTACCAAGAGATTGAGATCGAGGATTTGATATATCTTCTCCCTGGACATTCAACCGGAATGGCGCAGGCAAAGGTGATGTCTGGGATACTTCTGCGCCAGCAGAAGATGAACCAGCATAAAGCGACTCTCCGAATAGACGCCTAGCAGAGTCTGTATCGCTATTGGATGAGTATTCAAGTATTTCCCAGAATCGCGATAGATCGATTAGGAGACTTTGATTTTGTGCGCCTGGGTCTGACTGGTAGGTTGCTGAGACTGCATCTTCTAGTCGCTGTAATCTATGTGCCTGTTGATATGACAAATGATGTGTTAGATTGTTGGTTTAACCCAAAAAGAGACCAGAGAGGGTGGAGATTCATACCAGTCGTGCCATGTGTGGCCACCTTTCTCCTATGGTTTGCACAAACTTGACACACTTGGCGAATCTTTCACGCTTATGTTCTCTGATAGTCAAATCATCTGTGAAACTGAGTTGCAGTTCGATTGTAGCGACAACGGCGGCGCTGTAGCCTAGTAATGGATCTGACACTAGAAATGACTTCTCTTCAAAGCATTTGATGAAGTGAATTATCCAGGTGGTATGCGAGGAGATCAGGTCCGAGGTGTGCTGCAAGAAGATCTCCGGGATAGTACTCCGGAAGTTCCGAAGACTGAGCGAGAGAAGCAGCGGATGGTTGAGTAGACACAGGCTGGTATGATACATGAATTGATTCAGAAACCACGGGCCCCAGTATTCACGATGTGTCTGTAATTCCTCGAGAGACCGTTCCGCGAGGTTAGCTGGCTTGAACCGGTGAATATATGGCATGCGCGTCTCGAGGTCCATTTGTAAAGCAAGTATTTTCGAGTATTCGGAATGAGGAGACCATGGTGGGATATTGCTTGGACGTCCGTGAAGGCGCACGTATCGTGCTGTCCTCGCAAAAACTTCGCTCAACATTACCACATATGCAATGATTCCTTCGTCTTGAATGTCACTCCGCCGTATTTCGACGGTTGATGGCCTCGGGGAGAGGAAGCGTGCCGGCCGTGCGGGGCTTCGGGGATACGGAGGGCCTCCAGCTTGGGGCATGTCCGGGATTGGGAAGTCGCCACCGTGTAGCCGTTTGAGAAGACATATACTCCAGAAGCAGCGTCTGCGTTCTTCGCGAACTACGCTGCTGATCGATGAACGTGGCTCTTGTCCGAGATTGGCACATTGTGCAAGGTTCATTGCTAAGCTGCTGTGGATGCTGGAACGATGCGTATTGCCGTCTGGTAGATATAATTAGCCCAAACCTAAAGATCGGAAACACTTGGCTCATACTTGTGAAGTCAACCAAGCTCAAAATACAGAGACATTGAAGTGTTGAAAGCTCCACTGGCCCTTCTGAGACTCTTTTCATAACGAGGCCACGAGAAACCTCAGCATAGCCATTTATCAGGCTAGCGGAATCGGCCCTATTGCGGTGAGCGTATGAGAAGCGAAATGCGAGTGCCAATATAGCAAAAAGAAGCTCCGCCTCGCGTGTTTGTAGACTGGAGAGAAAGCTATCCCTGCAGAAAAGAGGCAGAGGCTGAGAATCACAGTACAACAAATATAGCTCTGCAATGGGAATGATCTCCTCCCACGGTGGTAGGGTAATAGATGAGCTTGGAATTGGCAAAGTCACAGACGGAACATGAGATTCTGTGGGTATTTGTGGCTCACTCCTCGAGCTGCAGCATGTTTCCATGAGTAAGTAATTGCTTAAATGGGGATCCTGTATGTTCTTACCCAAGTACATTCAGAACCTCTCCCACTTTGCTTTCAAGGCTTCGTAGTCTATCTTCCTATGATGGGATCAGTATTTGGATGAAATCCAGGGGGGCTTGCATTCATAGGAAAAGAATACTCACTAGAACGTGAGATGTTCGGGGTTCTGAATCATTCAGCCTTGGACTCGACTCGGGAAGTGGCCGACGCCTTTCATCGGCGTATAAACATTGTTGCTGTAGCCTGGCACACAGAGAACACACCGGCTGCTCTCCGGGGCATTTGGCTTTCTTACGCCTGCGAGATTGGTGAACCGCTATTTTTTCAGACGATTCAATGGGCGTGGTACCTGCAAGGCTCACAGGCCTGACGAACCCTCTTGGTGGGTCTCTCCGAATAGGTGAAGCTCTCGTCTTCCATTGTTATATCCGCAACATTCAATATCAGGACGTATGGCTCTCAACGGGGACAGTCATTCTAGAACCATGTATCGGATAGTTCGGGGCCCCAATTCACAGCCTATATCGAGATATAGTTATGTTCAATGCATGCTCTCACTTAAAGAGATATATGGATCCGAACAAGCAAAACC